TAATTTTGGCATTATAAAATTTTCAGTCTCATTTTCAATGCATTGGTTGGCTTTTCATATTTAAGATTTTGTTCAAATGTCTAGTGATCCTTGGGTTCTGTTTTTAGTCTATAGCAATGCCATAAAAAGCCAAATTGGAAAGTCTACTTGATGCATTTCACTATACAGTATGGATTCGTTTCCCATTGCATTGTAACAATTTACTATAAATACAGTGGTATGAAACAACACTCATTTATTATCTCTTAATTTCTGTGAGTTAGACATCTAGGGACAGTGTGGCTGGATTCTCTTGCTTATGGTCTCAAGGCTGAAATCAGCTATCCTGTGTTCCGTTCCTTATCTGTAGGCTGTGGGTGAACATTTACTTCCAAATTTATTGTTACTGGTAGCAGAATTTAGTTCCTTGCAATTGTAGGACCAAGATCCTGATTTCCCTGCGGGCTATCAGCTGAGGCTCCTCTCATCTCCCTAAGGTTGCCCACATTCTTTGACATGTAGCACCCTCCATCTTTAAGTCAGCAGTGGAAATTGCTTTAATCTTCCTCATCTCCAATCAGCCAAAGACATCTCTGCCTTTCACAAGCTGATTTGATTGGGTCAGGCCCTGCAGGATAGCCTCCCTGTCTTTAGATCAACAATGTGATATAACATAACTTAATTATGGGAGTGAAATCTGTCAAATTCAGTCTCAAGATTGTAGAATATGTACATCAGGGATGGGTAATCTTGGGATCACTTTAGCATTCCTAGCAGACAGTGATTAGACAGAGATCCTTTCATTTCTTTGGGAATCCCTAAAGTATCAATACTTTAGGTCTTTTCTCTGATTTTTATAACCCAGCTACCTTAATTCTGGGAGCTGAGACTGGCAATAGGGTTGTGGATCTCACTACTTACCATGTTAACGTTCATTCCCTTAATGCTTTTATGTGGTACTTCATCTGATCCTCCTGTATACTGGGTGTCTCTTAGTCCAGGGCATTTCTAGTTTGCTTTCTTTGGAGAATAAATCACCTGGCTGTTCAGTTTGACAGTGGAAACTTGTGTCTGATTACCCCTCGAAGGTGTTCAGCTGATCTCCCTATTTTTCAACCAAAGCCTCGCCCTTGTATCTGGTACATCTAATTCCTGACTCCTGTTGAGCTAATGATCCCTTTTTCTTTTGATAGTGGTGTTTCAGTTTATTCTGTTCTGTAAGTTAGTTACATCTCTGATTTACTTTTTCTTTATATATTTTGGCTTAGATTTACAAATTTTTCCTAGTTTTATCATAGATGGAGTTTCTTTTACATTGTAGTCCTCTGAATAAGTTCTGAGAGGAAAATGGGGGAAATCATTATGCATTCAGTTATCTTAAAACCAGATATTTAATAAGTTTAATAGTGTTAATATTAATTTTATTATAAAATAATATAAATCATATTTTAATGTGCCCTCCATCTGAATTTCTATGGTTCTGTTGTTCAGTTGATTAGAGAATTTGAAAATAATAATCTGGTCATTGTGTTTTTTTTGTTTGTTTGTTTTTGTTTTTTTTTTTTTTTTGGAGGCAGTCTTGTTCTCATTCTGTCACCCAGGCTGGAGTGCACTCAGCTCACTGCAACCTTCACCTCTCGAGTTCAAGCGATTCTCCTGCCTCAGCCTCCCAAGTAGCTGGGTCTACAGGCACATGCCACCATGTCCAGCTGATTTTTTGTATTTTTAGTAGAGACAGGGTTTTACCATGTTGCCCAGGCTGGTCTTGAACTCCTGAGCTCAGGAAATCCACCTGCCTCAGCCTCCCAAAGTGCTAGAATTACAGGCGTGAGCCACTACACCTAGCCCTTTTCTGTTTTTTGATCTTCACTTTAATATCCAATAGCTGGATAAGACCAGAAAAAAAAGAATCACCGTAATTCAGGGTAGCTAGAATAATTTTTGATTACTGTTAATTAATTTGAAAGGTTACCATCATGTCTTTGTTTTTTCCCTAGTTATCTTTATTAAAATAGTTATCTTTATGAAGATACAAGTTCATAAAGATTTAAAGTGAGATTTTCTTGTTTTGTTTTTTCTTTTTAAGACAGTGGTTAGTTTTTACTGAGCCATATCTGTCTTCTTGCCTAGTTCCTGTTGCTGTTACTGACAAATGTTTGTTACATAGTGATCTGGGCTGGTTGAAAAATTAGATCTATTTTTTTTAATGTGGAAATTCGTCTGTGATCTTGATCTCAATAGTGCCTTCATATATTTAACCAAAAGATTATCTGTTGAATAAATATTGTAGTAGATTCAGAATATAATAGGACTTTTAATATTAGTGACATAAATTATACAGTAGGTGTCAGTCTTATCAGACCAAGACAGATTTTGTTATTTTTACATATTAATTGTAGCAGATTTGAAATTTGACTACTGTGAACATATTGTTACAGCTGTAATCATAAAGCCTTCTTGGAAGATTTATTTTTGGTTTTGTGGCAGATAACATTTAATATCTTAGTTTTTTTATTAAAGAAAAGCATAGAAATATATCTAAAAATACTAATCTAAAAATCATTCAGGATGGCAGAAGAAAAAAATATTTTAAAGGCAGAGATGGTTAATAACCACCTGTGTGAAACCTAATTGTTGCTTTTGCAGATATCTCTATAAAGCATGCTTACCCCTAACCTTATTATTCTAACTCGGTGCTTAATCTAGGCTGCCTATGTTACTGTAAAGTACACAATAAAAGTATACACTTTCAGAACTTTAAACATGAAACTTACGTGATATTATTAAACACCTTTTACTGTTATAAGATATACTTACCTGTGCAGATGTTTATTACCAAGTGAGTGATCCTTTTTGTTTCTTAGTTCACTAGTTTGTTGTAAAACCTATAATAGCCTTTCTTTAATGTGCATCGGAATCATATGGGGATCTTTTTTAAAATGCAGGTTTTGGATCAGTACATCGTAGGGCCTGAGATTCTGCATTTCTGACAAGCTCCCAAGAGATAGCAGTGCTTCTATTCAGTGGACCACATGTTGGATAGCAGGGTTCTGTAATATCCATCATAACATTAGAGGTAAAGGTTTTTAATCCTAGCTGTTTATCAGAATTGCCTTAAAGCCTTGAAAATATGTAGATGCCAGGCCCTGCTTTCTACTTACTGAATTGGATCCCCAGATGTAGAAAAGCTCAGCATCTATATATTTGAAAAGCATTCCAGGTGGCTGGAGAACACCTGTAAACCCAGCCCTTTGGGAGGCTGAGGCATGTGGATCACTTAAGCCAGGAGTTCAAGAACAGTGTGGGCAACATAGTGAGATGCTGTTTCTACCAAAAAAAAAAAAAAAAAAAAAAAAAAATTAGGCATAGTGACCTGCACCTGTGGTCCCAGGTGCTTGAGAGGCTGAAGTGGGGAATCCCTTGAAACTGGGAGGTTGAGGCTGCAGTGAACCATGATCGTGCCACTGTACTTCAGCTTGGGCAACAGGGTGAGACCCTATCTCCAAAAAAAAAAAAAGCAAAAAAGCACCACAAGTGATACTGATGGGCAGCTTGGATTAAGCACCACTGAATTAAAATAATAAAGGTTAGGGGTAAGAATGCTGCATGCTTTACAGGGTTATCTGAAATAGCAACAGTTAGGTTTCAAGTAGATGGTTACTAACCATCTCTGCTTTTGAATTTTTTTTTTAATTTTGCTGTTCTGAATGGTTTTTAGATTAGTACTTTCAAATGAATTTAAGTATATGTAGTAAGTTGTAGACATAATCATTTATGGCTTATCTTTTATATATAGTCTAGAATGCCTTTTTAGGCCATATTTTGTTCACAAGTGATAGCCCAGTAAACATTCTTAAGCAAAAATGGATATTGGCCCGATGCAGTGGTTTACACCTGTAATTGTGAACACTTTGGGAGGCTGAGGTGGGAGGATCACTTAAACCTAGGAGATCTAAATTACCCTATGCAACATAACAAGACCGTACCTCTACAAGAAAATTTAAAAATTAGCTGGGTGTCCTGCTACAGTGACACACACCTGTAATCCCAATACTTTGGGAAGCTGAGGCAGGAGGATTCCTTGTGCCCAGGAGTTCGAGACCAGCCTGGGCAACACAGTGGGACCCCCATTCCTCCAAAAAGTAAAATAATTAGTCAGACACGGTAGTGTGCACTTGTAGTCCCAGCTACTTGGTAGGCTGAGGAAGGAAGATTTTGAACTCAAGACAGTGAGGCAGTAGTGAACTGTAATTGTGCTATGCACCCATCCTGGGTGACAGAGCGAGACCCCGTCTAAATTAAAAAAAAAAAAAAGAAAAGAAAAATTAGCCTAGTGTGGTGTTGTGAGCCTGTGGTCCCAGCTGCTGGAAGGCTGAGTTGGGAGGATCACTTGAGCCCAAGAGTTCAAGACTTTAGTGAGCTATGATCATGCCCTTGTACTCCAACTTGGGTGGCAGAATAATACCCCGTCTCAAAACAAAAATAATAATAATATAAATATTAAAAAAATGTAGACATTTGCCAAATCATAGAGATGGTGCTGGCTTCTGGCACTACTGGCGTCAATGAATCAAAAATAATTTAATCAGGACTCTGTCCCCTTCTTTTTCTATGTCTCTTTTCTCCTCTATGTTGACTTTATTTTGGGTAGTCTTTTTCTGTATGTGGTGACAAAAGTGGCTAAATAGCTTATGACTCACATCTTACCAATTTAGCAACCTTTGAATATAGGTTCTTTCAAAGATATGACAGAGTCTAATTGTCCCATCATAGGCCAAAGACCCATTTCTGGCACCAGAGGGTCGCAGAATCAAGTACCTATGAACCACATGGAATGAATAAGTTTATTAGAAAACTGGAGAAGAGTGATTTCTCAAAAGATGCTGAGCAGCCGATATATATGTCCACTCCACCATTTGGAAGTTATTTGTTAACATACACAGTATAGCTTTAAGTAACTCAAATTTTGCTTTGTTTCTCCTTTTGGGTGTGTCTATATTGGTGCAAAAATAATATAATAGGAATAGGCAAATTGTCCACGGCTGATGGTAAAGCCTTTGCAGATCCTGAAGTACTCCGGAGGCTGACATCGTCTGTTAGTTGTGCGTTGGATGAAGCTGCTGCTGCACTTACCCGTATGAGAGCTGAAAGCACAGCAAATGCAGGGCAGTCGGACAAGTAAGTACATTTTGCTGCAATCAGTATGAAATCATGTTCTTAAAAATAATAAAAATAGCTAACATTTACTAAGCATTTATTTTGTGGCTAGCTAGCACTGTATTAACCACTTAACATGTGATGTCTTATTTATATTCACAAAAACTTTATAAGGCATAGATTTTGTTTTTACTTCCATTTTTCAGATGAAAAGTTAAAGAGAGGTGAGTAACTTAATCAAGGTCAAATAGGTAATAAATGACAGAGCACCAGTGTCTAGCTGATGGCCTAGTCAATATGTTATAAAAGACCTTTTGCTTATTTAGATTTTTTTTTTAATGTATTGGTGACAAAGAAGTAAATGTTTTAATAGTTAGGCCATTTTCCAGTTCATGTACATTGTTCTGACCATTTTAAAGGGTAGGGCTTTTATTTGTTTGCTTTTTGAAGTTGTAAAAGAAGTCATAGATCTAGTTCCTATAACTTGAATGTGAGTCTAGGTACTTTATTTATATTTTATCTCCTATAATTCCTTCTATATAGATAGATAGTACTTTATAATTAGTAAGGGCTCACTAAATATTTTGTGACGTAGCATTTTAAGCTGATATGATGATGTTATCCAATAAAAATCACACCATCTCATATATAAACACAATTGTGGATGTATGTTGAAAAATGGATAGATATTTCAAGGAAGCAACCAGAAAAGAATTATTAATAAATGTTACCTTTTTCAACCTTCAGTGGCTAATTTTTTTCTCCTGTAATAAAATGAAGCCATTTTATTTATTCTAGAAATTGCCTTAAAACGATTGAGAATATCTGAATATTCTGTTATATTTTGGTTTAGAGAGTAAATCATAGCATTTAAGAATTGTCTTTTGTCTAATGGTATTTTTATTTTTATTTTTATTTTTTTTTTATTTTTGAGACGGAGTTTCGCTCTCGTTACCCAGGCTGGAGTGCAATGGTGCGATCTCGGCTCACCGCAACCTCCGCCTCCTGGGTTCAGGCAATTCTCCTGTCTCAGCCTCCTGAGTAGCTGGGATTACAGGCACGCACCACCATGCCCAGCTAACTTTCTGTATTTTTAGTAGAGACGGGGTTTCACCTTGCATACCAGGATGGTCTTGATCTCTTGACCTCGTGATCCACCCGCCTCGGCCTCCCAAAGTGCTGGGATTACAGGCTTGAGCCACCGCGCCTGGCAAATGGTATTTTTATACAACATTCATAAGAGCATATAAAAGAGGGCTTATATAGTATTAACAATATGAATTTCCTGTTTCTCTTGGCTCTTTTTTTTTTTTTTTTTTTTTTTTTTTTTTTTTTTTTGAGACGGAGTTTCACCCTTGTTACCCAGGCTGGAGTGCAATGGCACGATCTCGGCTCACCGCAACCTCCGCCTCCTGGGTTCAGGCAATTCTCCTGCCTCAGCCTCCTGAGTAGCTGGGATTACAGGCACACGCCACCATGCCCGGCTGATTTTTTTGTATCTTTAGTAGAGACGGGGTTTCACCATGTTGACCAGGATGGTCTCGATCTCTCGACCTTGTGATCCACCCACCTCGGCCTCCCAAAGTGCTGGGATTACAGGCTTGAGCCACCGTGCCCGGCTCTCTTGGCTCTTTATTAGTGTTCATTCATGTAGATTTTTGTGTTTCTATTAATTTGCTTTATGATTCTTCTTGTAGGTTGACTCTCTTCTTTAGTTAACCTCGGTTTCTATTCCGTGGTAAATGTTGAGTTTTACTAGCCTAAAATATTATCGGTAATCTCCAGATTTTTTTTTAATGTGGTACCTGCTAAGGTTGGCAAGAGAGACAATTCAAAACCCTTGAAGGATATATTAAAACCAGTTCAATGAGGAAATCGCATACAAAAATAAAAAGTCACAGATTATTTTGCATTGAAAATACTGGAATTTAACAGCAAAAACATAGAATATGTTTGTGGCAATTCTATTTATTCAACAAAGTTTGAGAAATATGGTAGACTTAAGGGCAGTGAGTACTATATGCCACATTTTTATGTTAATCAAGGACAGTGCCATGTGCCAGGCTTAATATGCCCTTTGCCCACAAGTTCTTAAGTTCAGTTGTTGCTAGAGAAGATCCTGTAAGTTTTTAAAGCTGGAATACACACATAGACATCAAATGAAAAATTCAAATGATAATGTAGATTAGGGTATATGCATAAAGAAGTGAAAGAGAGAAGCTACTTCGAAAGAGAGAAAAGGTATGCTCTTACAAAGGAATTGTCTTATGGGAAGGATTTGTCCTAAATGTGCTTAAAAATGAGAGCACCGAGTCTAGGGACTGTCAGTGTCCTGTGGAATGGGAAGTTAAATGATGTTTAAAAGAGAAATTTATTTAGTGCTGGTCGAGACCTTCTCACTTTTGGTAAGGGGATAGTACAATTAACATGCTAATAAAATATGTAGTATGACACATAATATAATAACTGGGAAAAAGATTGAAAGGGACATGCTAAGGCAGTGTTTGGGTTGGAGGTTATCTTAGTTCATTTTCTGTTGCTTATCACAGATTCCTGAAACTGGGCAAGAAAAGGAATTTATTTCTTAAAATTATGGAGGCTGAGAAGTCCATGGTCAAGGGGCTGCATCTGGTGAGAGGCTTCTTGCTGGCAGGGACTTTGTAGAGTTCTGAGGCAGCACAGGCCATCACATGGCAAAGTAGGCTAAGTATGCTAGCTCAGGTTTCTCTTCCTTTTATAAAGCTACCCAGTCTCACTCCATGATGACTAATTAATTTATTTACCCATTAATTTATTAATTCATGAATGGATTAACCAATTCATGAAGACAAAGCCTCCATGACTCAGTCACTTCTTAAAGGCCCTACCTCTCAGTATTGTCACATTTGGTGTTAAATTTCACATGAGTTTTGGAGAAGTCAAATATGCAAACCATAGCAGAGGTCATGTTACATTTTTTAATAGCATGGTCAGGGATGTCCTCACTTAAAATGATGGCTTTTTAGGAAAGACCTGAAATAGGTAAGGGAGGGAGCCATGTCTGAGAGAGGAGCTGTCCTGGCACAGGAGAAGCAAATGCAAATATTAGGAGGTTGGAGGTTATTTAGCATATTTGATGAATAGCAGCGAGACCAATGTGGCCAAAGTTGAAGGAATAAGGGTGAGAGAGTAGCAGATAAACCAGATAAGTAAAAGGGAAGAGAAATATGGTATCCTGCCACTGGGCAGATCTTAAAAGGATTTTGGCTTTTACCGTGAGTGTGATTATAGGCCAGTGGAGGGTTCTCAGTAGAGAAATGACATGTTCTACTTTCCTTTAAATCAGATCTCTCTGGTTGTCTTGTTGAAAAGAGCCTGAAGGAGAGCAAGTGTGAAGGCAAGGAGACTGGTTATGAGGCTTTGCCATATCTGAGGCAAAGATGTTGGTCTTAAATCTGGGTAATGGTAATAACAGAGGTATAGAAAAGTGATTATCTGTAGGTACCTTTAGTATCTGAAGTGAGAGAAAGGGCTATATTTTAAGAAGATAATAAAAGAATTGAGGTATATTTGAAATAAAAAGAATATTAATATCCCTGGATTTAGTTTTAGGATTATTTTATACAAAAGTGAGAATCTTTAGAAATGTCTACAATTGGAATTGTTTTGGGAATTTTATGGGGCAAACACTTTTCTCTGTTAAATTTTTTGTTACTCCACTTTTTCTCCTCTCATTTTGCTTGAATTTATCTTTTTCTTTGCCTGAATTTGAAACTTCTTCCAAAATATGATTGTATAAGTAAATACGTCCAAAACCAAAACAAAAAGAAGGCTCATCAGTTACTCATTTACTAATATTACATTCTCCCATCTTTTCTTTCTGATTTCCCTTTACTTGATGGAAGGACTCACATAGATCTTTTTAATTAGTAGAAGTTTTGCCCATTTTGTACTTTTTAATTAAATTTTATAAAAATTTTCTACTGACCAAACAAAAAGTTTGATTTCTATAAACTTCTGTGTTTTAAAATTTTGTGTTCTTTCTCCACTTAACAGTAAATTAGACTTTATCCTTCAGTTGCATAACTGAAAACATTTTGGAATATTAATAATTTTAATTCAGTGCCATTAATATGCAGATTCTAAAAAACGAAGTGAATTCAATTATTTAGCTTTTTGTTATGAATCATATTGAAATAATCATTCTTCATTCTGCTGTAAAGAACTACCTGAAACTGGATAATTGATAAAGTAAAGAGGTTTGATTGACTCACAGTTCCACAGGCTTTACAGGAAGCATAGCGGGGAGCTCCCAGAAAACTTAAGGAAGCAAGCATGTCTTACCATGGCTCAGCAGGAGACAGCGAGCAAAGTGGGTAGTGCTACACAATTTTTTTTTTTTTAACTTTCTCTTTTATTGCCAAGTTTGAATTTTTGCTACACACTTTTAAACAACCAGATCTGATGAGAACTCACTCATCAGAACAGCAAGGGAGAAATCCACCCCTGTTATCTAATCACCTCCCACCAGGTCTCTCCCCCAACACTGGTGATTATAATTCAACATGAGATTTGGGTGTGGACATAGAGCCAAACCATATCTACTGTCAAGACTTGACATAAAAAACCAATACTCTGATTGGGTGTGGTTGTTCACATCTGTAATCCTAGTGCTTCAGAGTCTGAAGCAGGAGGATTGCTTGAGGCCAGGGGTTTAAGGCTGCAGTGAGCTGACTGCATCACTGTACCCACTCCTGGGTGACAGAGCAAGACTCTGTTTCTAAACAACAGAAAACAAAACAACGAAAAACAATACTTATGCTGTGCAATTTTTTAATATTCTTATGCTCTGGTATGGTGATATTCTTTCCCTAATAGCCGCAGTTTGGCAGAAGCCTGTTCAGAAGGAGATGTAAATGCTGTGCGAAAGTTACTCATTGAAGGGCGTAGTGTAAATGAACACACAGAAGAAGGGGAGAGCCTCCTTTGTTTAGCCTGTTCTGCTGGATACTATGAGCTTGCACAGGTTTGTATTATCAAAATAAAGCTTATTTGTTGTTGTTTTTTTAAAATCTGACTTGCTTACTAAGGAAATAATGAAATAAATCCTTCCAACCATTAGGATTATTTCAACAAATAGTTTTGTTAGGTAGATGTTATATAAATACGTATGTTCAAAATTTTTTGTGATTATCATTTTCTAATATCTTGTAAACTATTTTTCTCATAAGGTTTTGTTGGCAATGCATGCAAATGTGGAAGATAGGGGAATCAAAGGTGACATTACACCTTTAATGGCTGCTGCTAATGGAGGACATGTCAAAATTGTGAAGTTGCTGCTAGCTCATAAAGCAGATGTCAATGCACAGTCTTCAACAGGTCATGCATATTTCTCTTTCAGTTTTGCTAAATAGTAACCTCATTTGGTAATAATGGTTTCACATGAAACTGATGTTTAGTGCTAATTTTTCAGTTCTCTTATTTCTTAGAAGTGCTACATATTTGCATACGTCTGTGTATAATGTTTTGAATTATATAGAATATACTTTGAATGATATTTCTCCTGTTTTGTTTATGAGGGCAGTTGGCCTTTTAAGGTTCTTTAGAGAAAGTTAAAACATTGACCCAGTTAGGCAGACCACCCTCTTGGAAATTGAGAGGTGTAGGTTGTAGTGCCAAAACTCATGTTTCTAGTTTTTTTAGAAGAGGAGTGGAAAGATAGGGAGAACAAAAGATTGTAGAACAAAAAGACAGTTCATTATTTCCTACGTTACTAAATTGTGGCCCACAGAAAAAGTATTGTGAAAACATTGTGTCCTGAAGAAGAGCATAACTTTAGTCTAAACTTTCTTATTTTTTTTCAAATTTGGGCCTAGTTTTTTTTTTGTTTGTTTGTTTGTTTGTTTTTTGAGATGAAATTTTGCTCTTGTCAACCAGGCTGGAGTGCAATCTTGGCTAACTGTAACCTCTGCCTCCTGGGTTCAAGCATTCTCTTATCTCAGCTTCCCGAGTAGCTGGGGCTATAGGTGCCCATCACCACGCCTAGCTAATTTTTTTTTTTTTCTGTATTTTTTAGTAGACACAGGGTTTCACCATGTTGGCCAGGCTGATCTTGAATTTCTGACCTCAGGTAATCCACCCACCTCGGCCTACCAAAGTTCTGGGATTACAGGCGTGAGCCCCCACGCCTAGCCTAGAAATTTTTATTTTACCCAGAAGGTTGATTTTTCTTGTAACATGGGAAATTTTTATCATCAGAAAAGAATGTTTTAGAAACTATTGAATTCAAATGTAGAAATTTGAATTTGATCAGTTAACTGGTATTTGAAGTTGTAATGAAAACACATATATATAATTAAAAGGTATAGTATAAGGTATGTATATGATGAATAATTTTAGGTTAAAAATATATATATATAAATAAAAACTTGTGAAACATTTCTCTGATAAACCCTAAAACAAACTTTTTCTCGTCTTAAGGTAAAACTTAGCTCCAGGGCAGACTTGCCCAGTTCTTTTACAACTCTCCAAACTGGATTAAGTGTATCTCATGTTCCACATGTATTTGACTTTGGTTTTAAATGGAAAAGGAGAATAGGGAGTTGATTTCAGAAAGATAAAATGCAGTAGGAAAGGAATTTAATGTATAGATATATATTTGCATATATGCATGTATATAATTTAATATGGTTATAGTCTTCAGTTTCCATTTTCTTAATGTAAATTAGCACTTTATTTTGGTATTTTATGTGAATTTCTTTTTATTTTTTCTAATTAAAATAGGCAATACAGCACTTACATATGCTTGTGCTGGAGGCTATGTAGATGTTGTAAAGGTGCTCTTGGAATCCGGTGCTAGTATTGAGGACCATAATGAAAATGGTCATACTCCTCTTATGGAAGCTGGAAGTGCTGGACATGTGGAAGTAGCCAGATTGCTGCTAGAAAATGGGGCTGGCATTAATACGCATTCCAATGAATTTAAAGAGAGTGCCCTTACCTTAGCTTGTTACAAAGGTACAGTATAAACCTTTCTTGAAACAAAGTTTTTAAACATGTGAAATTATAATTATTTTATGTAATTTTGTTTTTAAATTCAGAAGTAAAACATAATAATATTAATATATAGTATGAATTAAAGTGTTTATAGTGTTTCAGTTTAATGTAAGTTTAAGTATAGATTTAACATAAATATTGTCACTCAAAAGTGAATATTGATCTAATTGTTTTATCAGAAACAGTTCTTTTAATATGAACTGTATAATAGCTTTGCATGTTGGTAAGATTTTGCTTGTTATGAAGGGTTACATGGTATTTTAAATGATGTCACTGAACCTGAAAATATTGATAGTACAGAAAATTTAACAATCTAGAACATAGAACATTAATTATCTGCAGACCAAACATCTTTCCAGGCAATTGTCGAGCCTTTGGCATATGTGAGATAGGCTGAACAGTTGCCTGAAAAGATGTTTGGTCTGCAGAAAATTAGCGTTCTATGTTCTAGATTGTTAAAACACAGCCACAGAGTGGAACATTTTGACTCCATATGTATGACAGATAAATGACTATAAATTAAGGTGTTTTACTTTTTACCAAAGTAGATTAAGATTTTTTATTAAGAAAATTTTTTATTAAAAAAGTCATGCAGTGTTGTGTTTGTTTAGCCATTCGATTTTGTGTTTTATGCCATCTATATAGCTGTCCCATATTATTTACATTGTAAATTCTTGACCCCTAAGCATCAAGAAGAAGCTTTTGCAAAACCTAGTAAAACATTTAAGGAGGCCCTCATTCTCAGGGACTAACCTTTCACATGCACAAGCTTACGTGTGAATGCCTCCTTAAATTTTGCACCCTGGGCTTTGATTTCCTCACCCTAGTTCTGGCCCTGGTGGTGTTTTGTTCTGTATGAGTAGCCAAGGTTGTGTGATGCCTTTTGGAATAATTTCATTTATAAACATGAATCCTTAGATATTTGCATTAATTGACTAAAATTTAAGTTAAATTTGAGAAATACGCTTTATTTATAAAGTGCTTTTGATTATCTGATGTTAATAGATTTTTAGATAGGGAACACAGCTGCAGTCCCTTAATTCCCTTCCCCAGCCCTGTTTATAATTAGGCAGAGGCTGATCTTCATTGGGAGGAGAGGAATTAAGCCTTGGGGTGGGCTGATTGGGTGGCTCTCTCCCCTTCTCACAATGCTTTTGAACCCAGAACTGGCTGCATTTCACTACTGAGTCCCAGCTGGCCAGAGAGCTTTGAGATGGGGCTGCATGTAACTACTCTCCCCTCTCTGCTTTGCTTGTAGCCCCACTCTGCTGTCCAAAAGGGGCATCTGAGGTTGGGGCTTACAGGCTTTAATTAGAAGCTGGATAGAGAACTGAGCTGGTGGAGAACATTTCTACTACTTCCAGGTACCCATGGACCCGCTTCCTTTCCTCTCTTTCTGGTGAGCTTTCCTTGGATGTAGATTGACAACGAGGAGTTGCGGAAGAGATAGAAGTCAGGTTGAGACTCAGCGTTAATGTGGATTTTGGAGAGGGGAGAATGGCAGAGAGGAAAAGGGAGGGTAGGTAGTTGGCAGATAGAAGATTTGGCAGATACTACACTTATGCACTGAAGTAAATTTTGTTTTAACTGTTTACCTCTGACTTCACTATCTGTCTTTCTCTCTCATCCCAATTGCATAAGAATTGATTGTTGTTCATTCCAGATAAAGCTGGGGAAAATAATAAGTAATTTGTTAATTGTTTTTATCATAGACTCTGAAGTTCTTTTTAAATTATAATATGTCTTCTTTTTAACCACTTACATGGTATCTGTATCTGAACTTAAGCATGTGGTTTATTTGGAACTGCATAAATGTGTTACATGTGTATATTATAATTAAAAATATAAATATAAATTAAATGGTGTGGTTTGAAGAATGTTTTTATACATACAGTTTCCAGTTTATAGGTAGGTTTTTCCCTAAAGTTTTTCAGTTAGGTATTGGAACTTTCAATACATTTTCTCACAGAAATAACTAGACTGATCATTATTATCTCAGGCCTACTAGTTCATGAAAGCTGGTTTATTCCATAGCATAAATAAAATAACTATAGCATGTCTGGGCTCTTAAAAGGTTGTAGAGGGAACATTTTGGGTGTTGGATTTTAATGGCATCTTTGTTCACCTCTAGCAGAGATTCTAGTAGCAGCAGTTTCTAGGGCAGTAGGGTAAGGGGTTAAACAGCAAGATCACTTGTATAATTTGTGTTCTACAGTTGAGGGTGGCTTCTAGTTGACTTCATTATGCTTATAAATTTAATGCCGTAAGTTAAATATAACTTTTCAAAATATTATAATTTAAAAAATATTTTGGAATAATAAAATATTTTCAAGTAATCTTATACACTTTTGGTTTAGGACACTTAGAGATGGTCCGATTTCTTTTGGAAGCAGGCGCGGATCAAGAGCATAAAACAGATGAAATGCACACTGCCTTAATGGAAGCTTGCATGGTAAGATTGGTGAAATACATGCAATAAATTGATATATTAACTAGGGAGAGACAGAGCTAGTATACAATGAATGCCTTTTCCTTGAGTGCTACAATTCTGTTTGTCAGAACCTTACTGAGTCAGTTGTACATTAACTTCTATTGAAGTTACGTTCTGAAGCTTTACAATGCTATCATTTTCTTAGTCTCATGTAAGTCTATACTGGTTTTATATAGTTGTCACCAAAGTGACTTTTTTAAAGATTGGTTGAGGATATGGAAAAGGAAAATATGGCCAGGCATGGTGGCTTACTACAATAATCTCAGCACTTTGGGAGACCAAGCTGGGAGTATTGAATTAAGAAATTAAAGTGGAGGCCAGCAGTTCAAGACTGAGCCTAGCCAACATAGCAAGACCCCCCTCTGTATTTAAAAAAAAAAAGAGGGAAATATAATTCAGAATATGTACATTATTAATAAATGTAACATACTTCAAACCAATAAATTGACTACACAAAAATTTAAAAGTAGAGCATAATTTATGTTACATAATTTTTCGTCTCTCACAGTCTTTTCTGAGCCCACAGTTCTCTTTTGAAGAGCTGTGTTTTAGAGTTTATATTCAAGAATGGTTCATAGCAGTACTCTTAAACCTTTGTATCTTGGTTTATGATTTGTAACACAGAAGTGGATCAGAATGTTATATAAAAATTTTTGAGGAAAACATGCCAGTGGTAGAAAAGGCCCCAAAAGTATCTGAAGTTTCTTCTCATCTTCCCTTCAGAGAATAAGGATGTTATTCTTGAAAGAATTCTTGAAAAACTTAATATTCTTGAAAGGATGTTAAATTTTGTTTACTATTTTAAAAAATATTAGGTAGCCATTTAAGACTTATGTGTTGTTTTCCTTATTGTCATCTTAGTGTTTGCTTTAGTAAATTATTATTATTATTATTATTATTATTATTATTATTTTGACAAAGAAAAGTTTAAGCTTTCGTGTACTTCATCTGTAAAATGAGGATACTATCTTTCTCTGGAGTTGTGAAGATTAAATGAGATAATGGGTGTAAAGTACATTAATATTATTAACAATAACAGTTTTAAAAGTTCCCCATGATAAGGAAATTTAATCATCCTTGCCACCCCCTACTGGGAAAACAGTCTATATATAAATTAAGAAATTAAAATGACTGTAATCCCAGCATTTTGGGAATCTGAGGTGGGTGGATCACCTGAGGTCAGTAGTGAAAGACCAGCCTGGACAACATGGTGAAACTCTGTCTGTACTAAAAATACAAAATTAGCTGGATGTGGTGGCGCATGCCTGTAATCCAGCTACTCAGGAGGCTGAGGCAGGAGAATCGCTTAAACCCAGGAGGCAGAGATTGCAGTGAGCCCAGATCACGCCATTTCACTCTAGCCTGGGCAACAAGAGCAAAACTCCGTCTCAAAAAAAAAGAAATTCAAATGGAAAAATCTGTACATCTAGCCAACAAGCACTGGGAGTAAACATTATAAGTGAAAGATATAGTAGGAACCAGACATTTGGAAGGCCTGCTATAATACTGAGTTTTTAAATTAGATTTAAAGGAAATCTAGGCTCTATCAAGGGAGAATATTCAGCACTGAAGAAATAGCAAAGTAATCAAACTACTACTAAGACATTAGATTCTTCTCTACAAATTGAAAAAGAAAAAAAGTAGTAAGACATTAAAATTATGTAATGTGACAAACATGGTGGCAAAAATGGGCATGGCATGTTTGAAAGAATGATATGTCTGGGAGATAATATATAGAGGAAAAAAATTATTGAAGGACCAAAAGAAGAAAAAAAGAGGGAACCAGTGGGAAAAGTGACCACTAAAGGAGACAGAATGTAGAATTTTCTTTTCTTTTTTTAATTTATTTTTTAGACAAGGTTTCACTCTGTCCCCAGGCTGAATTGTAGTGGCATGATTGTGGGTCACTGCAGGCTCAACTTCCTGAGCTCAAATAATCCTCCCTCCTCAGCCTCCTGAGTAGCTGGGACAATGTGCACACCACCACGCCTGGCTAATTTTTGTAGAAATGGAATCTCGCCATTTAACCTAGGCTGGTCTCAAAACTCCTGGGCTCAAGCAGTCCTCCCGCCTCAGTCACCCAAAGTGTTGGGATTATGGGCGTGAGCTACCACTCTTGGCCCTTTTCTTAATTTCACTGGTACTTGGATGAACAATGTAGACAGTACTATGTACACAATGGGTTCCTTTAACACAGTGTGTATCCTTCCCCTACTTCTCCAAAAACTGTTGCGTTTTTTTATATTTAAACAAAAGTTTGCTTATCCTTAAGATTTTTATGAAAATCCTTCTTTCCCTCTCTAAACTTTATCCGTTTAGCATTTAAGTTTGTACCATACAGTGTTGATGTTACCTGTGGTCTCATAATAGTCTCTTGTTTCACATACTTACTTTTTTCATTTTTCGATAGTTAATAAGCTTTTTGATTGAAGGTATCATGTTTCTGCTTACTTTATATTTTCAATCTCTATTTCCCTCTCCGATGTTAAAAAAATATAGGCAGTGCATAATAAATACTGATTTATTTAACTGTTAAATGTAGATTATTCCTATTTGAGTGGAGATTAGTAAACTTCATTGTATAGTAATTGAGAAGTGTTTGGATTTTTCAAGATGTATTTATTGGTACTGATTTAATATTTTTGATTGTATTATGATTAGGATGGCCATGTTGAAGTAGCGAGGCTACTTCTTGACAGCGGTGCCCAGGTGAACATGCCTGCTGATTCATTTGAGTCACCATTAACTTTGGCTGCATGTGGTGGGCATGTGGAACTTGCAGCTTTACTTATTGAAAGAGGAGCTAGCCTGGAAGAGGTCAATGATGAAGGTTATACACCATTGATGGAAGCAGCTCGAGAAGGACATGAAGAAATGGTGGCATTACTTCTAGGTCAAGGTAACCATATCTATCAATACACTAAATGATAAATGTGTAAAACCCAAGAGTAATTGGATTTTAGTATTTCACCTTTCTAGTAGAGTTGCAATGAGATGTTGTTACACAAACTAATGATATTTACTGTGAAAATGGCTCCCATACTGTGTTAAACAAAATCGAAGAAACTTCTTTAATATAGAGCTTTCAGAGATATCATGAGCTATATGTGAATGAAAAACAGAACTGGTGTTGGCAAGGTTTGTGGGTTAAATAGGGGAATATAAGAGTCAACATTTCTCAAAGGTAATAGATGAAGAGAATGTATTCCTTTGGGGGTAGAATACCTACCAATAAATATTTAATAAAGCTAATGTTTATTAAACAGTATGGGAAGCCATGCAGTAAATACTAACTTGGTGAGAGTGCAAGAATGCACACACATTAGAAACTGTCAAGGGGCTCAGTACATAAACTTCTCTTTTGGTAAAAGTAAAAGAATTACTTCACTATGTTAAGATATCTTCTAAGATATCTTCAGTTTAGAAATAATCTCCCATCTCTATATTGGTAGCATGATTTTATTTTTCTTTCATTAGTAAGATTTGTCTGGACAAATTTAAGAGGAATGATACTTTAAAAAAAAAAACTTCTGTTTTTATTTAGAGGTAATGTTAACTAGAATTTTAAAAGCATAGGTTTTGGAGCAGACTTCATAGATTGAATCATAACTCCACCGCTTGCCAATTTTGTAACTTTAGGCAAGTTTCTAACCTTCTGTGCCTCAGTTTTCTCATCTGTAGGGTTGTTGTGACAGTTAATACGTATGTGTGAAACTCATAGAACAGTGCTTGTCATATAGTGCCTGTTAAATGTTAGCTATAGTGATGGTGGTAGTATTGATGACAATAATGTTGTAACCTTGGATAAGTTAATTAACCTCAGTTTCCTTAGCTGTAAAATGGAACTAATAATAATAATACCTAAACAATTTGTAAAATGCTTTGATGTTGCCTGGGAAATAGTAAGAGCTTATTTAATGTTAAGATTTTTATTATCATCATCATCATCATCATTATCATGAATATCTTTTGTTATTTTTGAATCATTATAATAAGGGGACATAGCTTATTTTTTTGAGTTCTTTTATCACCTGACTTGTGCCTTTTGGCTGAATAAGTCTGTACTTCAGCTGTGATACATCAGATCTGTATGTGGTTTTAACAGTTTTATTTATTTTTATTTTTAACTGCCTTAGGAGTTAGGAGAAAGGCAATTTCTTATTTAGTATAGTAATATAAATGTTCATTTTTGAAATATAGTTTATTAAGAAATCATGTTTTTCATATATCTGGAATAAGTTAATGACTTTCTTTAAATAATTAGAATCTTTATTTTAGGAGCAAATATCAATGCACAGACAGAAGAAACTCAAGAAACTGCCTTGACTCTGGCTTGCTGTGGAGGCTTTCTGGAAGTGGCAGACTTTCTAATTAAGGCAGGAGCGGATATAGAGCTAGGGTGTTCTACCCCTTTAATGGAAGCTGCTCAAGAGGGTCATTTGGAGTTAGTTAAATACTTATTAGCTGCAGGTAGGCATTTTTGTATTTGGGAGAAGTTTTTTTACATGATTTATTTAAGTAAAAATGTCATAATGCAAATATTGTTATGATGTTATGATACACTGAATGTGTGCGTTTAAAAAAAAGTGATATATCTTTGTATGTATTCTGAGCAATTTACCTTACTGCTCTTTGAAGTATCTGCAGCTTTAATTTCAAGTAGTTTTGTTTGTATTTGTTTCTTTTTAAAAATGCCTACAGTATTCTCTATTTCTAGAAATGAATAAGGTTTTAATTTGTTTAATTTGAGGAGATAGGACTTATCCAGAAGAAACCTGTATTTCCATCATATAGGTCTTATGGCTCTTGTATTAAGTCTGTGTATTATTTGTTGACACTACTACAGGAGCTAACGTTCATGCAACAACAGCAACAGGGGATACAGCACTAACATATGCCTGTGAAAATGGTCATACTGATGTAGCAGATGTCTTACTTCAGGCAGGCGCAGATCTGGTAAGCTGTGTTACTTTTTAAATCTTAATACTTAACAATAAGAAATTTTAAATTATGGAGATTCTAGACAAAAGGTACCTCTTCACTTTTAGTTTTATGTTGGCTTTTTTGCCATTCTTTCTTTCACTTAGTCACATTTTTTTCCACACTGTTTACTGTTCATTCTTATTTTCCTTAATGGGATTGTTCACTGCATTATCCCTTATTTTCCAGAGAAAAAGGAAATCTTTGTGTTACAGATATTAATGCAGATTAATTTTCCCTTAGGTAATTATTTAACTATTTTTAGAAGACTTTCTGATTTGGTATAAAAAGGCAAATGTGGCTTAGAGGAACTTTAGTATTGCTTAGGAAATAAATTATGACTACAATATTCAGAACATTATTAAATAATAAAAGTTTAAAACATAAATACTTATTATCTTTTCCCTCAAGTACTTTATAATTTCAGAAAATATAATAGGTGACATAACGAGATGTGGTAGTGAAATGCAGAGTAAAGAAGCTGAGAAAATGTAAAGCAATCATCTGACATATTGTTTTGTGGATGGCTAAAGTTTAGAAAGACAGATATGGCAGTGTTGTGGCTAAAGAGTATTTTAATTGGAAAAAAATGTGAGCGAAGGCTGAGAGGTAAGGAAGCATAAAGCAACTGTGTGTGGGTAGAATAGGTGGTCTTCCAGTCTAGCATGTGAGGGAATAGGAATAAGACATCCAAAGGCTGATTTTAGCTAAAATATTAACACCTGTATATTTATGGGACTGAGATTCTAAGATTAATAAACAACTGTGCTGTTTCCTTCATGGTTTATGACAAATTCACATGCAGACAGCAGTAAGCACCCCTTCAGTAATTAATTTTATAGACAGTAATTTATAATTTAACCTCTTGTCATTTATGAAAAGAGAATGTTGAATTAGATTATTGTTGGGGCCACTTACTGTTAGCGCTAAGTCTAACAAGGGAGATACAAGCACACAACCAACTAGAATGTAATGTGTATATTAAGTGCTTCAAGCTTGTTAGAGCTTTCTTCCATGTAAAAACTGTATTCCTAGTGTTTGCCACTGTGGCTCTGAAACATAAAGCAGTGTATTTTTTAGTACTTGGTTGGTTGATGACAATTAGAAAAACCTAGGATATGGCTTAAGAGAAAAATCAGAAACTGTTCAGCATTTCTTTAAAAATAAAAAAAAAATTAAATGCTGTATGAAAGATACTTTTTCTCATATCTTTCTTTTCTAAGATCTGAAAATTTTTACCAGTAGTGTTGTTCTCAGCTATTTAGTAATCACAAGTATGCAGTAGAGTCTTCATCCTTTTGGGACCCAGAAAGCTCTTGTAGCATCTTAGAATTGATGGTTTTAGAAATATTTGTTATCATTTTTATTTAAGGGAATCTAGAGATAATAGGAAGTCTATAAAGAGGATGGTAGTGATGCAGTTACTGAAATTCATAGAGGTGGGATGCAGACTCATGAGGGGAAAATAACTTTGAGTGGATGAGGATACTGCTCGTCATATTGATTGTTCAGAGAAGACCATGTCAGAGTACCATACATGCATAGTGAGGTACCACAATTCATTGTGTAGAGAGAGGAACAAATTACTCAGATGCATTTAGATGAGGGCATCATGATCACATGACTATAAGTTTTAAAATTATTTCCTGTGCTCACTTTGGCAGCATATATGCTAAAATTATTTTCATAGGACAAATTTATAATTTGAGATTTTTTTTTAATTTAGAAATATATTTCTTAATTTTTTTCAAAGCATTATATTTGAATATTTAGATTCAGAAATTAGTCCAGTTATTTTCTTTTGATTTCTATGAAAAAAAAAAAAAAAAAAAAAAAAAACTTGTTCACTGGCAATTAAGTGTCAATTAAGTCTGTTTTTGTTTTTTTTTTTTTTTTAAACAGGAGCATGAATCCGAAGGTGGAAGAACTCCTTTAATGAAAGCTGCAAGAGCTGGTCATGTTTGTACTGTTCAGTTCTTAATTAGTAAAGGTAAGTTTGTATAAAACAGTTGTTCGTTTCCTCAAAAGTATTTATCCCTGCCTTCATTTAGAGATTTAAGGGTATAGTAGTTGAGGGCGAGAGGTTATCATATGAGGAGGGATGCTGTTGACATTTAATGAATGGATAGTTGATAAACATCCTGCCATGCACAGACCAGTTCAGACTACAAATAGTTGTCATACCACTTAGCACATTTTTTGAGAAACACTTGTATAAAGGGAAGGGAAATTTGTCTGTGTAAAAACTGGAGATTTAGGTAACACACTCTGCTGTGTTCATGTAATACAGTATTATATTGAAACCTGGAATTTTATGATGTTTCTGCCACTAAAAAAATTTGTAGCAAATAATATTTCTACTATTTTCCTGGTTCTATGTTCCCTTTCTTATAAAATATAGGGAGTTGGTTATAAATACAGCACAAAAAATATTCACAATTGAAATGTGACAAAAATAGCAAATTGCATGAGGATTTTCATTCATCGATCAGAAATTTTAGTTTGAATACCAAAGACCTTAATGACCAAATAAAATAAAAGGGAGCATACTATTACTCTCTTTAAATTATTTCTTATGTGTTTCCTATGAAAGTTACAGTTGAGAAAGTTTTTCATTCAGAGTTCATCTTTTTTTTTTTTTTTTTTGAGACAGAGTCTCACTCTGTCGCCAGGCATTAGGCTGGAGTGCAGTGGCCCATCTCGGCTCATTGCAATCTCTGCCTCCTGGGTTCAAGTAATTCTCCTGCCTGAGCCTCCTGAGTAGCTGGGACTACAGGCACACAACCACCACGCCCATCTAATTTTTTGTATTTTAGTACAGACGGGATTTCACTGTGTTGGCCAGGATGATCTCGATCTCTTGACCTCATGATCTGCCCACCTTGGCCTCCCAAAGTGCTGGGATTACAGGCGTGAGCCACCGCGCCTGGCTTATATTCTTAAGTATAGGAGAGTACAGATTTTACTGTTGATTCTGCATTGATAAAAGGAAGGGGAAGCCAAGTGTGGTGGCTAACCCTCATAATCTCGGCACTTTAGGACCCTGAGTCAGGAGAATCCCTTGAGTCCTGGAGTTCAAGACCAGCCTGGACAACATAGTAAGATTCTGTCTCTAGAAAAATTATAAAATTAGTCAGGCATGGCGGGTTGTACCTGTAGTGCCAGCTAGTTGGGAGGCTGAGGTAGGAGGAGCACTCAGGCTCACAGGTTCAAGGTTATAGTGAGCTATGATTGTGCTACTGTACTCCAGCCAGGGTGACCGAGTGAGACCTTGTTTCAACAACAACAACAAAAAGTATAGGCTTTATACAGTTTTCAAAGGCAATAATATACCATTTTCTTCATATAATAATAGTAAAGAAATCTCAAATTTCTAATTGTTTATAGGTAAAGAAAATTTGAAATAATTTACCAAATTACTTTAAACATTTTGAACATGCATTGGTGATATATATTCGTAACAGTATTCTCAAGCATGGAATTATATATATAATTGCTGTCCCCTCACTGGTTAATATTAGTGAATTTGATTCCAGTTTCTATTATTTTATTTCTATTTCCCATGTTACCTACCACAATAATCCAAATTAGGGATAGAGGTCAGGCACAATAGCTCATGCTTATAATTTTAGCATTTTGGGAGGCCAAGGTGGGAGGATCACTTGAGCCCAAGAATTTGAAACCAGCCTAGGTAACACGGTGATACCCCGACTCTACAAAAACAACAAGCAAATAAATTAGGGGTAGATTCCTATTCGGGAGTAGGGGTAAATTACCCATTTTCCTTGTCAGGTATTTCTAATAGAAAAAAAAAAATGGTACTACTCTACTACTCCATTTAGTGTTTGTTCTCTACATATTTAACCCATAGAAGGCAGTATAATTTATTTTTCTTGAGTCATCTTTTCTACTGAAGAACTTAAAATACAAATAAAACTTCATATTTTACTTTTAATAGTTATTACGTTAGGAGTAATAGGTACTTTTGGTATCTTTTACTGGTACATACTGAAGTCTTTTCAAATTATATTATGTTTGGGATTTATTTACTTTAGAGTAGTTCAAGATAAGAGAGAATTAATGTGGGGTATTTGTAAAATGAGATTGGCCATGTGTTTAAAGTCATTAAAACTTGGTAATAGGTATGTGGAGCCTCATAATACTGTTTTCTCTACTCTTCATGATTTTTAAATTTAACATAATTTTAGGAAAAACCATTCTACTAATATGATTTTTCATCCCTTTTCTGTTTTAGGAGCGAATGTGAATAGAACCACAGCTAATAATGACCATACCGTACTGTCCCTGGCTTGTGCAGGGGGTCATCTGGCAGTGGTGGAACTACTTTTGGCTCATGGAGCAGATCCTACTCACCGTTTAAAAGTATGTAACTCAAATGTTTGTGCAGCATCGTGAATTAATATTTCTCTTTTGGTCATTATTACAACATATCATGTACAAGCTCCATTCAAAATGGCATTCTAAATATAAATTTTCTCCTTTTTTACTTGAAGCGCCACCAAACTGATGATTTTAATGTGTCTGGGACCTGTTGGCTATATTTTCTTAAGTGATACTATAACTAACTTATTTTTCTTTGCTTTTTTCCTCCTCCATATTCATTCTTTTAGGATGGCTCAACTATGTTGATAGAAGCAGCAAAAGGTGGCCATACAAGTGTTGTTTGCTATCTCTTGGATTATCCTAATAACTTGCTTTCAGCCCCTCCACCAGATGTCACTCAGTTAACTCCCCCATCCCACGATTTAAATAGGGTAAGGTTTTAAAAATTAAAGCATTTTATGTTATGTCTTCTTTATCCTAACTCTTATAGTATCTGTTTAAATTAGGCTATTTTTTGTTGTAATATGTAGTTCTCTTTATAAATACGTACTTGATACAGTTAATGAACATCTGGTATAATATTCAGACCCTAGATGATATAATTATGCTTTACTTTTTAAAGGTCACAATAACAACTTGAATTCAAAGCCCGCTAAAAAATGTCGTGGAAAACAATTTGGCACCAACATATTTTAAGTAAATATATCATTGTCTAAGATGGCAAATTAAAAATATCTTGAAAAAATCTCTGTAATTTATTTTTTATTTACAACATATTAATGGATCTCGTAGGACACTAATAATCACTTAGTGTCCTTTGTCTTAGGCTCCTCGTGTACCGGTTCAAGCACTGCCCATGGTTGTTCCACCTCAGGAGCCTGACAAACCACCTGCCAATGTTGCCACCACTCTTCCCATCAGGAATAAAGGTCAGTTATACTTCTAAAGACTGTTTCTTACTTGGTGTCCAGGTAAAAATAAGATTACCAAAAAATAGCCATTTCTACCAACAAGGAATTTTACTAAGTTGGCATTATTAAGTTTTTTTAACCCATGATAAAAGTATGTTATTGGGAGAAAAAAATAGTTAATAGCACGAATTTGTGCCAGAATTAGAAGTTTTAGCATGAGAAATTCAGATGCTCATCTTTGATGCAATTCTGATTATCCATGATTTCCTTTAATAACTAGTAATTTTTGTTCATGTAAAATGTTAAGCTGGGAATAGTTGAATGATATTTTTATAAATTATTTACTTAAATCTCTGCAGTGATAAAGGCATAAATTAACAAAATGTATTAAATATTAGAAATTTATTTTAGAATGACTGACTTAATATAGATTTTATATCTGGGATACCTTTTCTCAACCAATAATTCAGTTACTTCAGATATGCTTGTTTATTTCTCTAGAATTCTAAGGTCCATATTTGACTTGTGGATTTATACCATGCATGTTCTTAAGTAATGTCCCCAAACATTTTATACCTACCAGTTTGAATTAGTTTTTCTTTTTAAAAGTTTTACCTGAAGAAACAATGCAGTTTTTATTTTTCGGTTTTTGGCTACCTATATTCTTTTATGAACAAGAATGCTATATTTTCACCAGCTCTTTTCAATCACTACCATCAACTTAGAGCCTTGGCACCTTTTTCAGTTGATATAGCAAACAATTGATTGCTGTACCTGTAGCCAGATCTGTCTATTCACCTGGCTGTCAGAAGATACAGTGGATGGCATAGTCCAGCATCTTTTCTTCCAGGGAGACTGAATCCCAATTCTCTACTGGCCAGATAGCTGTGTGAATATGTGAATTTATATCTTGCCTATATTAGTTTTGAAGATATTAGGCCCCAACAAAGACATATGTTTTCGTTGGATTTAATTTCTTGTTACTTCTTAGTGGTTTGGGTACTCCTTGTGTGTATGTGTGTGTGTTTAAAAGGCACAGACTATGAAATGTGAAAAAACCTGACTTAGAGGTCTGTTTTCTCTTCACCCTAACAATTTAGCATTATTATTCTGTTCTTATGATGAGTTTTAACATCTTTATGACCATATAAAATATCTACACATAGCCCTAGATGTTACTTTAATTGCACACTTAGGTATCACAAACCTGCATTCCTCTGTTGTCTAATTTTAGCCATGTGATATTTTTAAGATTCTGAAATTAATTTACAAAGATTTTGCACATAAAATACATACATTTTATATTTGTGGAAAAGGTGGATTTGCTTTTAACTTTCTAACAGTGCAGTTTCACCTTTTATGGATATGATAACTTAGTGCATAACTGTTGGCACTAAACCTCCCAACAGTAACTCTGTAATGAGGATGCCATTCATGTGCACTTCTGAGGGGGTTTCTTTTTCACACAGCTGCTTCTAAACAAAAGTCCAGCAGCCATTTGCCAGCAAACAGCCAGGATGTACAGGGTTACATCACCAATCAGTCTCCAGAGAGCATTGTAGAAGAGGCTCAGGGAAAGTTAACAGAACTGGAACAGAGGATAAAAGAAGCCATAGAAAAGAATGCACAGCTGCAGTCCTTGGAACTGGCTCATGCTGACCAACTTACTAAGGAGAAGATCGAGGAGCTGAACAAAACGAGGGAGGAACAAATTCAGAAGAAACAAAAGATTTTGGAGGAACTACAGAAAGTAGAACGAGAGTTACAACTGAAAACTCAGCAGCAGCTAAAAAAGCAGTATCTAGAGGTTAAAGCTCAAAGAATTCAACTTCAGCAACAGCAGCAACAGTCTTGCCAACACCTGGGATTACTAACTCCTGTTGGGGTTGGAGAACAGCTTTCCGAGGGAGACTATGCACGGTTACAGCAAGTGGATCCCGTTTTGCTTAAGGATGAACCCCAGCAGACTGCTGCTCAGATGGGTTTTGCACCAATCCAGCCTCTGGCGATGCCTCAAGCTTTGCCTCTGGCGGCAGGTCCCTTGCCTCCAGGGTCCATCGCAAATCTTACAGAACTGCAAGGAGTGATAGTTGGACAGCCAGTACTGGGCCAAGCACAGTTGGCAGGGCTGGGGCAAGGAATTCTGACAGAAACACAACAAGGGTTAATGGTAGCCAGCCCTGCTCAGACCCTCAATGACACGCTGGATGACATCATGGCAGGTGGGTTTATATTGTTATGAGCAGGTATCAAATATGATTTGCTTAAGGCGAGTAAGAATGTACCCAAATTTTTTGCCGTTACCCAACTTGAGAACTATTTTTGGACTCCTGACTCATGTCTATCTTTAGAAATATTAGTTCAATCTCAGAAGTTCTCAAAAGGATACAGGTGGAATTAAAGATTAGCTCATTCAATACAAATGACTGAAGCTTTCTGGCTTAGCTTGGTAGCTTGAGTATGTAGGATTTTCAGTAGTGGGGTTGATGTTTGATTTTTGTTTTTGTTTTCATTTTTTTCCTTTAAGTTCAGAATACTGAGATTGCATTTTGGCATTTTGCTTCTGTATTCAAACCAATAAACTGGGAAGTTGATTGAAGTTGAAGTGCAAAACTAGTAGGATACATCAGGAAGCTTATTTATGAACATAAATCCTTTATATCCTAATGGATCAGACTTCAAACCTGATGGATATTAAAAAAAAAAAAAACACTTTTACAAAATTAATAAAGTACCAAACCAAATAGTTTAATTATACTGTATGTAAGTGATTTTGTCCCCTGTGAATGTTAATGTGTAGTCTCTTTCTAACTGTATCATGAGAAGATGTGGCCCCCTGAAAGTATCATAAATGATATATTTTAGATGTGTAGCCAGATAAATTTCATTCTATTATAACTAGTTTCATTGGGCAAGAAGATATATTTTAGAAAGTTGTTTTAATGTTTCTAGTTTTTAGTACTTATTTTTTGTAAGTTTTGTAACAAAGTAATGGGATTAGATTTTATAGGGTTGTAAGCCATAACAGTGCTATACTGAGAAGGATAATTTGCTTCATTAAAAAACAAAATTTGGAAAGGAAAACAGAAGAATGAAAGGAATAAACAGTGAAATGCTGGTAACTTTCATCTGATCTCTTCCCCTTTTTTATTCATTGGTCTGTACTTAAAAGATGATTTTTCTAATTTTAAAACTGTTTCAGTAGCATTACATATGATGAGATTATACATTTTTTTCCAAGTTTCATCTTTTAAAAGAATAATAGAAAACTAAATTGTGTAGTGTTTAGATATTTAGCTAACATTCAGATATTAAGAAACCAGCTGAGACAGATTTTATACTTATAAATATCTGTAAAGTTTATTAGTTCTCCTTTAATAGCACCTCAATAGTTATAACATGTGGAATGAAAATTTCTGCTAGTCTAAGGGTTAAATAACCACATTGGAAAAATACTAATAATAATTAGTAGTAAGAATTGTACCACTCTAATTGATGAGTGTGAAATTTTTCTGTAGATTTGAAAATCACTACTAATCATGACTAGCTGATTATAATAATTGGGAATAGAATTTTAAAAATATTAAATATCCTGTGAAAGTTCATTAACCCTAAATTTGATACTATGTCCATGGCCATGAATTTATTAATAATAGTGTCCTATTATGTCAAACTACCAAAGGATGTATAGAGTTAAATATTACTTATCCATTTAATAAAGAATAGGCATTACATAATAATGGATGTTTAAAAAAATTTTTTTGATATAATATCAGAGTTTACCTGATGTGCTTGGGCATAATTGTCAACAATGATTTACTAGTTGTGCAGTTTTGTATGCTGATCAGAATTATCAGAAGTTTGTAAAGTATCTTTTCTTTTGATTCATACTTGAAACAAAAACAATTCTCTTATATGTGTTCCCAGTGTTCCGTATAAAAATTTTTTAAGTGCACATAACTTTTTAGGAAATACAACAAATGCTTTTCATAATACAGAAATATTTTACTTTTTTATTATGCTCATTTCTATGGGGAGAGGAAAGATAGCCAGAAGGAGAAAAAGTAGGATTAAAAGCATTTGGCTACCTGCAACTCATCCCTGACAACAGGCATGTGCACATGCACACACAAACACATTTATGCACTCACTTTTGCATCCTCAATCTTAAATTTCTATGGTAGGATGTATTCTTTCAGTTGCTTTATGATGATTTCCACTTATTTCTTAGGGTTTTGATGTATATTATAGCCTCATTAGTCTCATCTTCTTTCCCTCCCTCTAGTACAGTCCCTGTTCTTAATTTCTTAGTTTTCATTTATTAGACTTATATCATAAAATTTGCTGACCAAAATTGTCTGTCTTTCCTGTTCTTCACATTTGCCAAACCAGAATCAGCTCCCTGTTTAACCTGTCTCAATACCTTGCCTTTGCTATCATCTCCAGTTCCCTTTTTCCTATGTTGACGTTAAAACTTTTCTTACATGTGGTTCTCTCTCTCTAAATCTAACCCTGAAACAGAAGCCCCACATGTAAAAATTTTTACTGTAGTTCCTTCAGTACCTACATATTTACATTTGTTACTTTTACTTGTAGAGAATGTATGTGTGATTGACAGTTACTTAATTTTAGTAAACCAGTTCATAGGTACCCCAGTGGAAATGATGAGATAATTGATTTTTCCTATCTCCTTTTAGATGAGGTGATAAGAACAACCAATTTGACTTAAAAAAAAAAAAAAAAAAGCTGTAATTTTAGGTTTTAAAAAAAATATATTGCAGTTTTAATGTATAATATAATTTAGTCCTTTAACAAGAAAGTTTAGATTTTTTTTTTAACCCGTTTAGTGTTTTAAAATAAAATTTAGTGATTCAGACAGACTGGTGTTCATCCTGTTTAAGCGACTTTTTGTATTTAACATTTTTACTGTGACAATCCAATCAAAGGAGGTATGGAATCAATTTTAAGAGCTCTAGATTTTATATTATTTTGAAATTTATATCTACAATATGTACATTTAAATTATCTTGATCTTTTTATAACATACAAAACTATCAATATGGAGTAACAATATCAAGATCAGTAGATGGTCTGTTTAATATATTAGTATATGACCTTTTCTATTGGTCTGGATCCTTAAGGATTCAAAGTGTTTTGTTTTGTTTTGTTTTGTTTTGTTTTCTCCTTCGTTTTTCCTTTGGCTTTTAAGTGGACTTAAAAATGTATAATTATAGAATGTGTGTTGCTATAATGTATAGTGTATGTTTGTGCCTGAACTAAGGATTTAATGTAAAATAGATTTCTTAAATTATAATCATGTTTAAAATTGTTACAATAAGATAAATTTTAGTTTTATTCTTGACAGGATCTTAATCTCTTTTGCCTGGTTTCAGATCCAGTTGTGAATCATGATTGTTTTCTGTCTGATGTAGTTGATAACTACTTTGATAATACACATCCACACTGCTGTTGACCAGTCAAAGATAAATGCCCATACTTTAATATTATATCATTTTTAATGCGATTGGGGGATTTGATGTTCACATATCAACTCCAGAAACAACGCAATCAAAGAATAAAGTACCCTCAGCTGAATCTACAGTATATCCTATGCCAGCATATTTGGAGTCCTCCCATCTCTAGTACTGACCAGAATAGCCTTTTCTTAAGTTGCACGTTTTGGTGAAAATAATATCACAGCAATATCATACTTAGAAGAATAATAATCCATATTTGAAGAATGTTTGTGTGCATACATTTATTTCTACCCTAATCTTTTAATTTTGTCCTAAGTTAGTGTGATTGCTGGATTCATTGGTGAGCATTTTAGCCCCCTCAGAAACAATTCTTCATATGAGCAACTACACTTCTATATGAGGAACAAATTTTCATATTTGACTGTCCTGTCATACAGAGGGCTACAATGCACAATATTACTATATTCCTGTCTGCAGTTAGTAAAACAGTAGGAAATGTTTTAAATGATTGCATAGTGAGATTTCTCGCTCTCCAAAAGTAATATTATTTTTACTAGTTCTAGAATGTAAGGTGTGAAATTGGCAAGTAAAAACCACATATTTCCCTTTTTGATCATGACTGTTTGACCTTTGATCCCTTTTCTAAGTAAGATATAATGGACAACTTTCCATTTGCATTTATATTTAATACATAAACATTTTTATTTTCAGGGTTATTTTGAATTAAGATTTTACAACTACTTAACGAGAATTTGTTTTTCAGTTGGATTATTATTTAGAAAATGAGTTACTCAATATACATTATAATTTTAGACTGTCATCAGTCAATAAGAACTAGGAAAATTAGTTATTAGTGCTATAGTAGTCTTCCTGTAGACATTTTATTTTAAGAAGTCTTTAAATATTTTTGAGTTAATATGTCTTACTATTACTTAACAATGTTTCATCCTTATTAAGTGCAGTTATTTTGTTTAACAGCAGTCAGTGGAAGAGCATCTGCAATGTCAAACACTCCTACCCACAGTATCGCTGCTTCCATTTCCCAACCTCAGACTCCAACTCCAAGTCCTATCATCTCTCCTTCAGCCATGCTTCCTATCTACCCTGCCATTGATATTGATGCACAGGTAAGACCCACATTTAAGAGAGAGGGTTTTTCACTGGAATGATGCCATAATTACAAGCATTAACTTTTAAAGATTTAAACCATGAAAGATTGCTTTGTCTCTAGGCAAAGTCTTGAGCCACAGTTTTAAATTAATTAGAATTCACATTTAAAAAATAAAATGCCAAATATAGATTATTATGATAATTATGTGATGGTCTGGTTTCGAAGGTCATCAAGTAACCGTTTTTAAAAAAACTTTAAAAGAGGATATAAAAGAAATACTACTAATTAGTAGAAGATATGGTTTGAAATATATAATTAATTGCATGTAAAAGGAAATGGGTTCTAATATAAAATTTATATTTTTATAAGTCATATACATAATTGACACCATATGTACATGGCCATCAGGACGGAGAAATGTTTGCATTTTAGTGTTTTTTGACTGGTACCTGGGGTGTGTACATTATAAAACTTTTAGTTTTATATGTGATTATTTCTTTATAATAAAGCCTGAATTTTAGCAGAGGGAACACTGGGAGAAAGAGAGAAGAGTGAGTGTGTGTGTATGTTTGTGTTGGATGGCCCATTAAGGGCATGTACTCTTAACCTGTTAAAAATAAAGTTTCCTTTTTATTAAAATGTTTCTCAGTAACACTATGGAAACGGAATTTTATTTCTGTTCTTACTTGCTGCCCACATGTCTGTTGTTTTTTATGTACTGACTTCTTTGTTGTTGTTGAGTACTTAAAATTGCTAGGGATTGACTATTTTTAAGGAATCGTCTCATCTAATCCTCAGACCATTCATGAAGTAGCTACTCTTAATACCCTTCTCCCTGAAGAAGACACTGAAGCTGTGAGAGAGATTAAGCATTTTATTAGTCACTTCATTTAGGCTATGAAACGGCAGGGCTGGGAATATTCAAGTCTGACTTCAAAGACACTACTCTTTCCTTTTTCTTTTGTAATGGTTCTCGCAGTGCTGCCCAAGCTGGTCTCAAACTCCTAGGCTCAAGCGATCTTCCCGTCTTAGCCTCCCTGAGTAGGTGGAATTACAGGTGTGCCATCACACCCCAAAGACACCACTGTTAACTACCACCTACATAGCCTTTAAAAAAAAAATTGAGACATTCATGTGATGAACGGTAGTTATTTAAATTTAATATTGATAGCATTGCAGAATTGGTTTGAACTTGGTGTTGAACTTGCATTATTTTTCTCCAAGTCTCTTTTGCTTTGAGGCTACTGTGTTGTTATTATTTTTTCTTTTGAGGTGGAGTCTGACTCTGTCACCCAGGCTGGAGTACATTGGTGAGATCTAGGCTCACTACAACCTCTGCCACCTGGGTTCAAGTGATTCTTCTGCCTCAAGCCTCCTGAGTAGCTGGGATTGCAGGTGCCCACCACCACACCCAGCTAGTTTTTTGTACTTTTAGTAGAGATGGGGTTTCACCATGTTGAGCAGGCTGGTCTCAAACTCCCGACCTCAGGTGATCCGCCTGCCTCAGCCTTTCAAAGTGCTGGGATTACAAGCATGAGCCACTGCCCACGGCAGAGACTGTCATGTGTAGCAAGAAGTAGTTTTCTGATTTTTATGGGCCCAAGAATTGATTCCATTAGCAAAAGTAAGTACTTCACCAAAATGTAAAAAGACTTCTTTATAAAAATGTTTTTAAACAAGCACAGAAAAAGTTTGTCTAGATATTGATTTTACTGAATATGAAATTATTGTAGTGATGGTGAAATGATTTTTTCTGGGTGTATCAATCACCAACTATCACTATATTATAAATTAATTCTGAGAAGTTACATGTCGTTTTTTAATTAAAATTGTTTTTTAAACTTACATTTTAAATATAGTAGGCATGCTTTTATAGAAAGATTTGAATATGGCTCCTTAAACATTTACTCTTTATTTATCTGATCTATACATCAAGTTTTGTCATTTGTTGGGTTAGCCAAACCTAAATTAAACTACTCTCTGTGGAGTTTTACCATACATGTTTAGTTAGATATTAAAAAGTTCCTACCTTGGAAAAAAATACTGTTCAAAAATAATTGTTCACATTTTTTTCCCTTTTCATACTTGTTTTTAAAATTTACTAGTGTGGCCAGGCAGTGGTGGCTCACACCTGTAATCCTAGCACTTTGGGAGGCCAAGGTGGGCAGATCACCTAAGGTTAGGCGTTCCAGACCAGCCTGGCCAACATGACAAAACCCTGTCTCTACTAAAAATACAAAAATTAGCTGGGCATGGTGGCGCACACCTGTAATCCCAGCTATTCGAGAGGCTGAGGCGGAAGAAGTGCTTGAACCCAGAAGGCAGAGGTTGCAGTGAGCTGAGATCATACCATTGCACTCCAGCCTGGGCAACAGAGTGAGACTCTGTCTCAAAAAAAAAAAAAAATTACTAGTTTTTATATCAAGCAGATACTTAAGTGATTAAAAATGAAAATCCTTTTGTATTCAATCCATCTGAAGTTTTTGTTTTGATAAGAAAATAAAAATTTTGTGGGCTCTTAAACATAGTAGGTACTTTGATTATGTGTGATAATATTGTGCTGTGACAAATGATATAATTAAGAAATTAATACTAAGATTCATGTTCTGTTCTGAAAGATTAAACATTCTTTAATATTTGGATCTTCCATTTGTTTATCTAACAAACCTTAACATACAGACTTAACACTTTGCAGATATTAACTTATTTAACTTAATATTTATAACAATCCCATGAAGTAGGTACTCTTATTATTACTGTTTTTCATTTGAGGAATATAAGACATAAAGATATTAACTACCTTGCCCAACAGCTAATTAATGGCGGAGAGTATGTGAAATTATCTTTTACTTTTAATGGTATAATTTGAATATTTTTCTCTATTCTTACTGGTTTGCAATACAGAGAATAGTTTAATCACAATGATTTAACAAGAGAAATTAAGCTAGCAAAAATTAATTAACAGTGACATATAATATGCTACCATTAAAGCATTCTGCTTTAAAATTTATGCATTCTACTTGTTCATATGAACTAGTTTTAAATAGGTTATTTATTTTATGAATTATTCTCATTTATTGAATACATTGAAGTGCAGTCCCACTTTTTAAATTTACATATAACCTGACTGGGTTAGAAAGCAAGATATTAAGGATTTCAACAATTGTGGAAGTTTTAAAAAAAAGTTCAGCTCTTTACGTCCTAGTAATCAAAGTAATTTAATTATATTAAGAGTAATTAATAGATGATGTACCCCCTCCTTTCTTTTTTTTTTAAGACAGGGTATCACTCTGTCACCCAGGCTGGAGTACAGTGGCACCATCACAGCTTGCTGTAGCCTTGAACTCCTGAGCTCAAATGATCCTCCCACCTCAGCCTCAAAGTAGCTAGGAGTGCAGGCATTCCACACCACTTCCGACTAATTTTTTTGTAGAGATGGGTTTTGCTGTGTTGCTTAGGCTAGTCTCGAACGTCTGGCCTCCTGCCTTAGCCTCCCAAAGTGTTAGGATTACAGGCATAAACCAATGTACCCAATATACTTCCTTTTTAAAAAACAGTTCAGTGCTTTTTCACCTGAATTTCAGCTCATTAAAAGTTGCCTTTCCTTCAGTATTGCCATCTGTGTTACTACTATTTCTTATTTTTCATTTTGTTTCACTGTTATAAAATGGAATATTCATGTTGATATTTTTACATTAAATATATTTTCATTTTTTATAAGCCAGAATTCATCATAGCAACCTCTGTTATCGTATAGAATGGTATATATATTATGGCATCGTGGGCTAACTGAAATTTTCCTTAGAATGTAAACCTGAATGAGCTCTTAACGCTCCAGACATCTGTCTCCTTATTCAGATTTGGGACTTTCTCTTAGATATGTGACAAGTAATATAACTTCTTGACTAATATAACTTTGTGCAATATAATTTGAGTAAAAAGGATCCTTCTTTTAAGTGGTACTTTGCCTTCTACAAAATCATCAGCTGTTATTATAATTATTTCCATGACCAGTATTTGAAACACTTCTTTTTTTCTTTACCTTGTCATTATTAATATTAACCCAGCTTTCTATTTCAGACCATTTTTCTGTTGATGTACTGAGAAACAGAGTAATATTTCTTGCCATTTTGGGATTGTGTAGGTATTTTTAGGAAGATGGAAACCTCGCTTCAGACTTTTCAAATTCTTTCATTATTGTCTTAAAAGATTATCGTGTTAGTTGGTTTAGTTTCTCCTTCATACAGAAATACAATGGAGTTGCCCACTTTTAACTTCATTTCCACAAGGAATTTAAAGCCGCTTTCTTAAGTTTTCAATGTTTGTTTCTTGAAATCTCATAATATATTATTATGCTTCTCTCCTAGTTTGAACCTGAATTTGCCCAGTATAGTAATCACTAAGCTCCGTTGAGTCCTTTATTATCTTGTCAACCCTAGAGTACTTAGTAGAATGCTTTGAATGTAAAAGGTGCTTAATAAATGTCCGTTGAATTTATGTTTTGTAATGTTGGAAAAAATGTTTTACTGGTCCACTAAAACTTTCCGTGCTTATCTTTTGCAAATTTGGTGTACATCTCTTCATTTTTTGTTTGAGATTGTCATAGCTTTCCTAAATTACTCTTTAAACCCTGGAATAATTTTAGAAACCTTATAAACTTCATTGCAAAATTGACTCTTCTGCTGATTGCATATGCACCAAAGTATAGTGAACATAAGTCACAAACACTTAACATTAGATTCACCACAATCTGCTGTCCCTTAGGGCCCTTTTGTGATAATAGTGGGAAGAACAGGATTTTGTTATCAATATCTTTCAGCTTTTTAAAGCCCATCTCCACCAATTGTTAGTTTGTGTGTTCGTTGGAGTTACTTAACAGACCCTTTATCCTTTTTTATCTGAAATCAGATATAATTTCTTCCGATAAACCTGAAATTAAGATCAGATACTCTAACACAGTCAAAGCTGTCACTCATTTAAGTTTCATGTCCTTCTCCATTGTTGTAGTTGGTGCATCTCTCCCTTGTGGCCATCCCTGATCTCTGCAGTCAGTAGCTCTGCTCTCTGCCAGCCTCTTCTGCAGAGCAGCTTTTCCGGTCTCCCTCTTCATCACTGACTAGTAGGCTTTTTCTTTTTTCTTGACTCTTACTGATTTTTCCTTTTGTCTTTTGTTTTTCATTTCTTATAATAGAATTTGGTCTTTAGAGTTATTTGCTTTCTGGGACAACATGCTTTTCCATTTTGTGATTATTATATACTGTCTGCAAATGCAATGTGTAAATGCAGTCAATGCTATATGTAGTCCCTTGTTTATTATGTTTATTAGTAATAGTTTTTGAATCTGTGACTTTTACAGCTATTGCCATTCGTTTTACTTAAATATCATTTATTGTTTCCTAAGTAAAGCATCACTTATAGGTAGGTAGAAAATACAAACATGAATAAGATACGTTCCTTACCTCACAGGAATTTATAGTTTCTGTGGGAGACAGACATGTAAGGCAGATTGGTGATAAGTACTGTAATAGAGGTACATATGTGAAAATGAGGGAAATACTTAGAGTAACACTGCCTAGTTGAAAAATAAGGTGAGACACGTTTTTAATTTTAAATTCTCTAGTAGTCACATTAAAAAATGTGAAAAGAAAGAAATGGAATGAATTTTATTTTATTTTTATTTTTGAGATGGAGTCTCGCTCTTGTTGCCCAGGCTAGAGTGCAAGGGTGTGATCTTGGCTCACTGCAACCTCCGTCTCCCAGGTTCAAGCAATTCTTCTGCCTCAGCCCCCCAAGTAGCTGGGATTACAGGCATGCACTACCGTGCCCAGCTTATTTTGTGTTTTTAGTAGAGACAGGGTTTCTCCCTGTTGATCAAGCTGTTCTGGAACTCCTGACCTCAGATGATCTGCTCGTTTTGGCATCCCAAAGTGCTGGGATTACAAGCATGAGCCAACACGCCTGGAGAATTTTGAAATATATTTTATTTAACTTAATATATCCATAATATTGTTTTAACATGTAGTCAATAAACACAATTGCTGAGATAATTTACATTTTTGCTTTATACTAAAAGTCTTCAAAATTTGGTGGGCATGTTACATTTATAGCTGGAGTGATCAAATCATTTTGGTTTTCCTAGGACTTTCCTGTTGTAGCACCAAAAGTCCCTCATCTCAGAAACCTCCTCAGTCCCAGATTTTTCACCCTACTTATATCTAAATTTGGATTTCATTGGAAATACTTGATTGTATTTACATTTGATTAAATGTGCAGTCGAAAAGTAGATTCATTTACTCAAATTGTTTGAGACATCCTAAGTTTTCCAGTAACCAGATTAAATATCAGTTATTAAATTTAAAGTTAAATACAATTAAAAATTTAGTTCTTCTGTTACACGAGTCATTTCAAGTGCTAATAGTCACATGTTGCTAGTAGAGTACTAAAAATATCTAGCTTGAGGTGTTGGCACACGCCTGTGAACACAGCTACTCAAGAGACTGAGGCAGGGAGAATTGTTTGAACCCAGTAGGTGGAGATTGCAGAGAGCCAAGATCGTACCACTGCATTTCAGCCTGGGAGACAGAGCAAGACTCCATCTCAAAAAATAAAAAATAAATAAAAAATAAAAGTATGAGAAATTAGGTAGTTTGCTAGGCTAGCATTTAAACTGTAACAGAGTATGAACACTGGTAAATCTAGTGTTGGTCACTATTGCTAAGAAGGCAGAAGCAAGCCATATGTAGATAGTGTCATGTCTCATAATAGTCTTTGTCTTTAAAAATACACAGTACAATTTGGATGTTTGGTTCCTTTGTATTTTGGAGCTTCTTTCTCAAACACAGCTAAGTTACTTGGAAATAAATTTTTTTCTTTTAAGATCTACTTTTCAGTTTGTTAGGTGGGTCCACAACTGCTAACTTGGCGCTACCTACTGAGGATTCTATTTGACATCCTATGTGTTTTGAGGTCTTTCTGCTCTGGCTGGTGGGAACCAAACTATTCTTGGCCCCATGTGACCTTTGAGTATTATTCAGCCTGATTCTCTCTGTTGGTCCTTCCCTGGCCTTGGATAATTTCCTCATGCACATGGGCTAATCAAAATTCAGCCGAAGATTTGATGGGAATACTCTGCACATCTCCAGAGTACCCTCTCTGCAGTGCTCTCCTCTTCAGTAATCTGCTCCATGAATTCTAGCCACCTTGAACTCTCCATATTCTGTCTTCCCAAGTTGGGGAGACTGCCAGACTCTGCTTGGATACTTGCTGTCTGCACTGTAGCCTGGAAACTCTCCAGGCAGTAAGTTGGGTTAATCATTTCTGTCCTCAGGAATCATCTGCACTGTCTATCTAAACACTATCGTTTCAAAGAGGTTTTTTTTTTTTAAAGTTATTTGAAATAGGAAAATAAATCTGATAAATCTTTCTCCTTTAATGGCCAAAAGCACAAGTGAATCACAGTATTTCTTTCAATTTCTTTCATGTGATTGAAAGTCATACTTTATTTTTCTTGATGCTTGCTTTAAGTAAAACTAGTGCTTTACTAGTTTCCGATTGTATTTAGCTTCTGGTTGGAATTCGAAAAAAAAAGAAAACCTAAATAAAATAAGTGAAAGTTCCCTGACTATTCAGGTGAATACAAAAAAAAGAAAAAAAGAAAAAAGAATTGCTCATAAAGTTCAAATATTTATTTGTAGCCTTTAAAAAAAACTCACAAGTTGGCTACTAATGTGGAAAAAATTAAGTAAACCTTTCTCTCCCCTCCCCTCCTCTCCCCTTCTCTTCTTTCTCTTTTTTCTTTTCTTTTCTGAGATGGAGTCTCTCTCTGTTGCCCAGTCTAGAGTGCAGTAATCTCAGCTCGCTGCAACCTCTGCCTCCCAGTTCAAGCGATTGTCCTGCCTCAGCCTCCTGAAAAGCTGGAACTACAGGCGTATGCCACCACACCCAGCTAATTTTTGTATTTTTAGTAGAGACGGGGTTTTACCATGTTGGCCAGGATGGTCTTGATCTCTTGACTTCATGATCCACCCACCTTAGCCTCCCAAAGTGCTGGGATTGTAGGTCTGAGCCACTGTGCCTGGCCGTAAACCTTGCTTTTCAAATGCTTGATACCGTAGAGTGATACATATGTATTTGTGTGCATTTGGTATGTTTGTTATATTGTGTATTTGATATTAGCATCTTAAGTTATTTAATAAACTAACCAAAAAATAATTTTTTATAGACTGAGAGTAATCATGACACAGGCGCTAACACTTGCCTGTGCTGGTGGCCACGAGGAACTGGTACAAACACTGCTAGAGAGAGGAGCTAGTATAGAGCACCGAGACAAGAAAGGTAGGGCCTACTTTTATTTGTTATTAATGCTGGTCAAAAAATCTATTTAGAAACATTATTTCTTAGTCCTGTTTTGAAAGTTATATATTTTGTTCCTTTGCTTAGCATATAGTGAGAAGATCATTATTTTTCTCCAGGTTTTACTCCACTCATCTTGGCTGCCACAGCTGGTCATGTTGGTGTTGTGGAAATATTGCTGGACAATGGTGCAGACATTGAAGCCCAGTCAGAAAGAACCAAGGACACACCACTGTCCTTGGCCTGTTCTGGGGGAAGACAGGAGGTAATGTTTCCCTTAGTGTAATTGTTTTCCTCTCTCTGTTTAGCAGATGTGTACTTTCACTTATATTATTTTTTCTATCAGAACAGTGCTTTGGCATTTATAGATTTATCACGATAACTGAAACTACTGTTTACAAACAAACTGATGAGTATCATTGTTAGCTGTAAGCTGTCTTGCCAGAAAAATCACACATTGTTTAGAATCCTGCTCATCTAAAAGTAATAGTGCTATAGGAATCCCTGTTTATTGAATTTAGGGTAGGAGAAAGACTATTCAAAGTCAAATCAGTAAGTCCTAATGTACAGGGCATATATTAACTTATCTTTGCCTGCCCTATAGTACATGGCATAGAAAATACTTAATACCAGTCTCTGTTACTATCTGTAAGATTAGTAGAGAACTAAGAATACTCCATTTTTATGTGTTTTGAAAACTCTTGTCTTGTTTTGATTTCCCCCACCCTTTCTCAACTCTGGAGGCAAGGTTCTTGGGTAAGATGGTAAGATTATACGACCTTTCGGTTTTTTAAGGAAACTAGAAAAACTAATAGAGATTAGCTAAACCTGAGAAAATACAGCTTTATACTCACTTGTGTATCTTGTGGCATTTCACAGTCAGCTGGATAATACTTTTTTTTCTTTTTCAAATCTAGTCCTTTGTACAGAGGATATAAACCAGATGTGTTGTCTCCATAGATTCCCTTCTCTATCAAGGAATTATTGAATCTTAGATTTAGAAAGCACATTAGGTCATTCAGATCAGTGTCTTACTCAGCTTTAAAATCTTTTTTTTTTTCTCTTTTTTATTTATAAGGTTTTCCTATTTATTAAGCCTGAAGTATGCCTTATTTTTTTCTCCACAGTTCTTACTTTTGTTCTTTAAACAAATGGAAAGAGGTTTATACCTTCTTCTATCTCCAAATATTTTTTTCCTGAAGTCACCTATTCTCTTTGTGAAACAAGTCCCGTTTTGGTTGTTAGTCTGAGAATACCTTTTCCAAGCCCTTCACCATCATGACTATTTCACCCTTTATGTCAGTATCCTTCTTGAAATATTATATGTAATGGTACTCTGACCCGCGAACTGGGAAACTATTACCTCCCATTTGAGTATCTTAAAGTAGCTTTTCCCCCTAGTTTTCCACAGTGAAAGCACATAATGTTATATTGAACTCTAGTTAGTTAGACCCACTAGATTTTTAAAATAAACTTGTAAATAAACAATTTTAAGAGATATAATAGTTCCTATACAAAAGAATGGGAAATCTAATAAAGTTACATAAGTGCAAGAAGATAGGGCTTGGTGATCCTTCATTATGTAAAGTAAAAAACTGAAATCTATTAACAGTGATAATATAGGCATGGTTTATTTTTCTGTAATTTTTTTTCCTTATATTTGGAGTAGATATTATATTAATGGATAGTTAGATACACTTATTACTAGAATACTCCACAAAAGAACAAGGAGCCTTGCCTGTCCCTACTATTTTGTTTCTTCTAGTTGTGTCACTTTTTTCTTCTATAATTCATAGTAGAGACAATAGATATGTTAAGTGTATTATAAGCCAAATAATAAGATAGTGAAAAATAAACTATTTAATTTGATAAATTATTTCTACCATTCCAGAAGAAGTAAAAATTCCCATCAATCCTGGAAAGCAAAATTTTGCCTTGACTGAAATTTTCAATCATTATGTAGCTTGAAAAAGTACTTGCTTTATATAAGAACAAATTTTTCAATATTGAATCAACAAGAAATTAGTTGATTTCCTTTATTTAAAAGTAACATTAAAGGCAATAGGGCACTGTAATTTTTATGAATTACGTATTTTTGTTAAAATGTAACATGAGGTTGTAACAACTGTAGAAGTATGTTAGGGTGATAATTTTGCCTGTGAACACTTCGTTACTTTAATTTGGTGTCAATAGAACAGGTAAGTATTTTGAAGTGATTAATAAAATGTTGGAGTCATTTTACTATAAAGTCACAGATTTTGTTTTATATTGGATATTTTGGGAGCAGAACAGTTTGAGAAATTTGATTAGCGTGTTCTATACTGTTTATAAAATTGCCTAATGCCATATTTTTTCTTGTTTTTATAACCTTGCCACATAAGTGGCCTAGTTTTACTGGCTCTGAACGCAAAAAATGATGGACAGAATGTCGTATCTAAAACTGGACGTAGTTTTACTGAGATACAAGATAAAGCACTGTTCATTAACATCTATTATTTCTCAGTTAGTATTTTAGGATCTATTAATAGTAAGAGTAGGGATAAGAGCTATGATCTTGAGCCAGTCTTGACTTCCCTACATCTTATTTATAAAATGAAAATGAATATTGTGTCAAAGGTTGTTTAGGCATTAAATGGCATAGTGGTCAACGATCTGTTAATGGCCAATCAGTACTTAAATAAATGCTAGATATTTTTAGGTTTCAGGAAATGCAATTAAGATCTAGTGGGATGCAACTGCAAATCCACTAGAATGGCTAACATTGAAGACTAGCAATAACAAATGTTGCCAAGGACTGATGCTACTAGAACTCATCATGCATTATTGAAGGGAGTGTACATAGTACAACCACTTTAGGAATAGCCTAGCAATTTCTTATAAAACACACTTGGCTGGGTGTGGTGGCTCACGCCTGTAATCCCAGCACTGTGGGAGGCTGAGGCGGGCGGATCGCGAGATCAGGAGATCAAGACCATCCTGGCTAACAGTGAAACGCGCCTCTACTAAAAATACAAAAGAGTTAGCCGGGCGTAGTGGCATGTACCTATAGTCCCAGCTACTCAGGAGGCTGAGGCAGGTGAATTGCTTGAACCTGGGAGGTGGAGGACACAGTGAGCCAAGATCTCGCCGCTGCACTCCAGCATGGGCAATAGAACGAGACTCCATCTCAAAAAAAAGAAATCTAGGTAGTGAATATATGTAGGTTTTTCAATATTATGTTAGAAAATTTCATAATGTAAAAATATAGGACCTTTTATTCCATATTTTAAAATACTTACTGATTGAAAGGTTTAAAAATATGTTAAGTACATTCACATATATAGTATGAAAAAATCTTATCCCATATTACTCTGTTTTACCGCTTTGTGGTGAAAACAGAAATATTAATTTCTAAAGCATGTCCCAATATTTTCAGTCCAGACCTTTCATGAACACACTATACCATTTTAGTAGATTTCTACATGGGTTTTACTTGAGAAGGTATCTCTTTGTTGGCTTCCAAGACCTCCTACTATCATTAGAGGCTGGTTTTGGGCAGATCATGAAGGAAGAACTTTCCTTTTCTTTTATTGTATAGTATACCAGAAGAAGTTTAAAATATACACTTTGATAACATGCCTTGCCATAAGAAAATATTTTTTTTGTTGTTTTCTTTCCAGGTGGTGGAGCTATTATTAGCTCGAGGGGCAAATAAAGAGCACAGGAATGTTTCTGATTATACACCTCTAAGTCTAGCTGCTTCTGGTGGCTATGTGAACATCATCAAAATATTACTAAATGCAGGAGCTGAGATTAACTCTAGGCAAGTTGTATTCTCTTTCTATAAGTGCCTTATTTAGTAAGGCTGTTACAGATATTTATAGAATGCCCATTTTTTAGTGCCAAATTTAGTAAATACCTTTATTGCAAATTTGGCATTCAAAGTATTAGAGCTTTTTGAGATGAACTTTAAGTAATTAAAACCTGACATAGAACTTGAAAAATATTGATTACCGCGTTTCTTATGGTACTAAATGTAAACATATCTTAGAACCTTTTATTAAGCAAGTTAATACATGCTTTAAGATTGAAAGTTTATCCTAATAACTTATTAATCACCTTCCAGCCCAGGTCATTATGTGGAGTGAGATACAAAAAGTATTCTAATAAAACATTTCTAATGGAGTCTTGGCAGTATCTCCGAGACTTACTAGGTTGAGGAAAATGAGTTTTTTAAACAGTCCTGCAAAATGGTGTTAGATTAGAATTCTATATCATCTCTAATTTTTCTATGTCATTTAAAATGTATATTTTTCCATTTGTTTTCCTCGTACCTGCACCCTCAGAACTGGTAGCAAATTGGGCATTTCTCCTCTGATGTTAGCAGCTATGAATGGACACACAGCTGCTGTTAAGCTTCTGTTAGACATGGGCTCTGACATAAATGCTCAAATAGAAACCAATCGGAACACTGCCCTTACCTTAGCCTGCTTCCAAGGGAGAACTGAAGTGGTTAGCCTTCTGCTTGATAGAAAAGCAAATGTTGAACACAGAGCTAAGGTAAGAAAAAGGCTGAGATTGACACATGAATTTATTGCTTTGATATTTAAGGTTTATAGTAGCAACATGTTGATTATAATTTTTGTGCTTTCTAGTAACATTTATCTCCTATGTATGTATTTAATCAGAAATCATTCTTTATAACTCAGTCAGGCATCAAATACCTGCATGATAAATTATCTTGAAAATACCTAAGTGATAAATTTTTATAGGTAACAATTACAGTAGGGTTATCAGCTGAAAGAGACTATTTTGAAAGGGAAGGGAGGGAGGCATTTATTGATTACCAGTTATATGCCAAGTGCTTACATTTTACACAATATTGTTATTATTATTTTTACAATACTATTGAGATTAGGTAGAATTATTTTCTTTTAATAGATGAGACTGTAACTCAAAGGAACTAAGGGTCAGTTACTAGTTGTGAGTCTTGGTAACAACTGTACCATATTTCTTATTCAACTTGTTATTCTTTAAAATTTTTTAATTTTAGATCTTTCCAGTCTCTTATGTGTCAGTACATTTTATTTTTTACCAAACTTAGACTGGTCTCACACCACTAATGGAAGCTGCCTCTGGTGGATATGCGGAGGTGGGCCGAGTTCTTTTGGATAAAGGTGCTGATGTTAATGCCCCTCCAGTTCCCTCCTCAAGAGATACAGCTTTAACCATAGCAGCAGATAAAGGGCATTACAAATTCTGTGAGCTTCTTATTGGCAGGTATGTTGTTACCATACCCTTCATGTAAGAACACAAGTGTTACTAGTGATTACCTTTCTCTTTGGACAATTAATCACATTTGATTTACAGGTGCTTTTTTCCCCAGACCTACCCATTGTTTTCCAGCCATCCACAGCTATGCTGCGTTGTCTGATTTGTTTCCATGTAACCTAAAAATGTTTTTCTTTCATTCTTGTCTGTATTACTTTTAACATCTATAATAGTAAGCTATTTGAGCATCCATCTGTTGTCTTACATACTTAAACATTCCCCCATACACAAGTCTTAAAAGTCTAGCAGTGATCTAAGGCTTTATTGTTCATTTTCTTGTTCTTTGCAGGAATTAAGGCTTTTAAGTGTGGTTATAGGACTGTTTAAGACATCAGACAGGATCCAGGGTACCTTCTACTTTCAATCATGTAGAAGTTAACTGCTAGTTTTCCAAAGATGCTTGCTTAATTTATTTTCCTGCAGTCTCAAAGACCTTTGCATGGTATTCTAGGCAGCAGTATTTGGTAGTAACTGCGATTAACTCTTATTTACTATGAGTCTTCTTATCTACATCATGCCCACTGAATGAATGCTAAACCTGCATGTTATCCTTAATATACAACAAAAACAGATTGAGTATCCCTAATTGAAAAAGCTCTAAAACATGGAACATTTTGAGCCCTGTGATGACACTCAATGGAAATGCTCATTGGAGAATTTCAGATTTCTGATACTGGATTTCAGATTAGGGATGGTCAACCTGCATATGAACATACATAATCTGAAACAGATACAGTTGCCTCATAGGATATTGCTTTTGTAGTATAATTCTGAGAGAAAGACATATTTAAGTCTTCAAATATTGAAGACAATTTTTATCTTTTACAGAGTATTTTCACATGTTAATAGTTGATTTTTGTTACTGTGTCATTTCATTCTATTTAAGACAATGCTAAGATAGGTGTGGTGACATTGCCTAAAATTCTAGCACTTTGAGAGGTTGAGTCGAGAGGATTACTTGAGCCCAGGAGTTCGAGATCAGCCTGAGTAACATAGGGAGACTCCATCTCCACAAGAATTTTAAAAATTAGCTGAGCATGATGGCATGGGCCTGTAGTCCCAGCTACTCTGGAGGCTGAGGTAGGAGGATCACTTGAGCCCTGGAGTTGGAGGCTACAGTGATCCATGATCTTACCACTGCATTCCAGCCTGGGTGACAGAGCAAGACCCTATCTTAAAAAAAAAAAAAAAAAAAAAAAAAGACAATGCTATCTGTGTCATTGGTTTTTAGGGGAGCTCATATTGATGTACGTAACAAGAAGGGGAACACTCCATTGTGGCTGGCAGCAAATGGTGGACACCTCGATGTGGTTCAGTTACTGGTGCAAGCAGGTGCAGATGTGGATGCAGCAGATAACCGCAAGATAACTCCTCTTATGGCAGCATTTAGAAAGGTATAAGTCTTTCATGCTCATTTACCTGGATGTTTTTAAATTACACTAGGAAGTACATGGCTTAGTGATCACTAAAGACTCATTTTGTGCTTTTGCAGCTATGACGAAAGCAGTAAATATGCATATAATTACTCTGATGGCAACATTAAATGTAGATATATACAGGTTTTTCAGAAAAGCCATTAATATCAACCTTATTGGACATCAGAGCTAGGTAAACTTTTAAAAAGCTGTTCTAAGTAGTATTTTCAAACTTGGTTGCAGTCTTAAATCTTCACAAAGTGTAAATCCAGTTAAGATACTTAAGTAAGTACCTCTAGTTAGTTACTCTTAATGAGTGTTTTCCGTTATACCACTACAGAGGAAAATATCATTTAAATTGTTTTGTTTTATGTGTGTGTATGCCAGGTGCTGTGGTTCATGGCTATAATCCCAGCACTTTGGGAGGCCAATGTGGGCAGATGTAGTGAAGCCCCACCTCTACACAAATTATAAAATTAGCTGAGTATGGTGGCGTGTGCCTGAAGTCACAGCTACTCAGGAGGCTGACATGGAAAGATGGCTTGAGCCTGAGAGGCAGAGGTTGCAGTGAGCTGAAATTCCACCACCGCACTCCAGCCTGGGTGCAACCCTGTCTCAAAACCAAATTGTTTTTATTTTGATTGTTGACTTTATCTACTAGGAAAAAATGAATTAAATAATGAAAATGCCACTACCAGCATTTTAATATACTGAATTTCAAGTATATTACATTTAAAGGTAAAAATATGAATTTTGTGAAAGTGAAACAAACTTTCTTCGATTTTATGGTTTGTTTGAAAATCCATTGATCTCTTACGTACAGTCTTAGTTTGTTATGAAGAATAACAGATTATTGTTACAGGGATTATAATTTTGAGTTTTTTCGTTTGAAGATATGTAGGTAAAATTCCCTGTAGATGCCAAAATGTTGAAAATTTTTAATAAATAAATTGTGATAAAGTGTCTCTTCCTTTTTCTCTTGTTACTCTCTCTGACTCTTGTTTTTTATTCTACCTCTTCCATAGATACTTTGGAGTACCAGTGACTGTATTTTTGACTCTCTGTATATTTTTTTTTTCAGCAGTCAAACTTACTCCTTCTCACTGGCTAGCTGCCTCTTCTCCAAGCAAGCTAGCATATCATTATCAAGTTAATCTTTGTGTCTCCCTAATCTCTGAAATCATTTGGAATCCAATCTTAGTTTTGTATTCAAAGCCACCACAATTTAGTGCTTGTAGATCCTGTCTCCCATTAGAATCCCTAATGTGGAGAATTATCTTCTTGCTTGATCTTTCCTTGTTCATATCTCTCAAATCACCTTTTTTCTCATCTCATAGAATGCCCATGTCTTTCTTCATTTTTCCAAAGTTACTCATTCTTAAGGTGTAGTTTAAGTCTCTCCTTCTACCAAACTCTTCATCCTATTTGAGTTCACATTGAGATCTCTAATCTTTAGAGGTTGTACAAGTTTGGCAGTTTTTGTCATTCATTTGGAGAAATACATATTTTTATGTTATTACATTATTTTTATTAGTTATTACTCTAGTATCTAACATGCATATATCTTTCCAAACAGACTTATTGACTTCAGATGAGCAGTACCTATCTTTTATACTCTTATGTAATCTTACGTTCCATTATTTCTTGAGTACCTACCATGTGCAACTGTGGGCTAGAGTACTATGTTATGTAGAGTGCAACAGCCATACTTTTTAAATTTTAATGTAATTAAATTGGAGAGGTAAGATCCATACCCAAAGTCAGGTAACTGTTTGAGTTGCCTCATATAAATATAAAGACTGTAGAAGTATTGGAGAGATCCTTAAGGAATGATGCAAGTAGATTTGAGCTATTCATTAGAAGATAGCTATCCATTTAGAGAAAAGTTTAGAAACATGCAGTCTAAAAGGAAGAGATAGAAGCAATAAAAAAATATGTACTAAAGATTAGCAGCTGATTACCCAGACTGGCTAACTTTAGACATTGTGTCAGAAAGCAACATTATGGGCTAGAGAAAGTTGGAATGGCTCCTAAGAAGTAGGAAAGAGCAAGTCTAAAGATTTTGAACTTACCAACCTGTGCTGCAGTGGATAATATATTCATAGCTTATTCTTCATGGAAGTGTATGTTCTTTCACATTTACCTAGGACAGTACTATACATTTGTTTTTTATCTGAAGGAATGGAAAAACAAAATTATTATTTTTGCTCTTTTAATCCTTAGAATGGAAACTAAACTCTCATAGTTAGGGAGTTAGCAAAGAAAAAAATAAGATTTCCCCTTCTTCAGATATATCCCCTACTTGTTATTGATTTGGGGATTATTGTTTTTTTAATTCAGAGTTGTTTAGAATGTTAGGTCATATTATTCTGTACTTTTTTTTGGAGGGTAGGATGAGAATGATCAATATAGTTTTAACTCATTGGAACCAAAGCCTGTCTCTTTTTTATTTATAGTGTAAATAGGCAATTTAGTCTTTCTCTGTGGCACTAAATTATAGAAGTTAGTTCAGGCACAGATGTACTGAATTGTTAGAGTCTGTTTTCAATCTGACATTGATATCTATTTTTTTAGGGTCATGTGAAGGTGGTGCGCTACTTAGTCAAAGAAGTCAATCAGTTTCCATCAGATTCTGAATGTATGAGATACATAGCAACCATCACTGATAAGGTAATATGTTGTTCACTATATGAGCAAGGGACTCTATTTGGTTAATATATCTTCTATTCTAAGAAAAATTCTTAGTTTGAGTAGTAAAGCGTAATATATAGCCATTTTCATTTATCTAGTATTTGGGAATGAATTATGCCATTTAAGAGATTCTTGCAGATTATTTACTTACCTAATGAATCAGTTAAACATCCTTGCTATAGGATTACCTTATCTTTAAAAGTAATACTTGAGGTCAGGCGCAGTGGCTCGCCCTTGTAATCCTAGCAGTTTGGGAGGCCAAGGCAGTGACTTGCAAGAGCTCAGGAGTTTGAGACCAGCTTAGTCAACATGGGAGACCCTGTCTCTACAAAAATACGAAAATTAGCCTGGCATGTTGGTGTGTGCCTCTATTCCCAGCTACTTGGAAGGCTGAGGCACAAGAATCGCTTGAAACCGCAAGGCGGAGGTTGCATTGAACCAAGAGTATACCACTGCACTCCAACCTCAGCAACAGAGCAAGACTCTGTCTAAAAAATAATAATAAAAATAAATTCCTGTACTTATTTAATTGTTTTGTGAACACTAAGTAATTCAAAGCAACATGTTATTATTCGTTAGTGTTGTCATATATATATATATATATATATATATATATATATATATATTATCCAGACTGATACCTATTTTGAGAAAGGAATCTGTCCATTAGATTTTTATTTCTCAGTAAAATGAACATAGTACTTTCAATCATGAGCAAGAACTCTTGAACATGATATAAAAGTTAGGGTAACTTCTAATTTTAGCTAAGTTTGAGAATGAATTGGCTAGGAATTTTGCAGGCAATGTAGGGAAGATAAAATTGAATCCTTTTAGAGATGGAATTGAGACCTTCTCCTGGAGACATTTTGATTTGGAGTTTACACTAACACTTAATAAAATCCTAACACATGCCTCACAAAACGAAAGAGGCCAACAAATCTTAAAATGTCTTCCTATTGCCGGGCGCGGTGGCTCAAGCCTGTAATCCCAGCACTTGGGAGGCCGAGGCGGGTGGATCACGAAGTCGAGAGTTCGAGACCATCCTGGTCAACATGGTGAAACCCCGTCTCTACTAAAAATACAAAAAAATCAGCTGGGCATGGTGGCACGTGCCTGTAATCCCAGCTACTCAGGAGGCTGAGGCAGGAGAATTGCCTGAACCCAGGAGGCGGAGGTTGCGGTGAGCCAAGATCGTGCCATTGCACTCCAGCCTGGGTAACAAGAGCAAAAACTCCGTCTCAAAAAAAAAAAAAAAAAAAAAATGTCTTCCTATTATGTTTACACAGTTGCTATTACAAGATAGTAAGCTTTTCCCTATAGGTTTTAATTTAAACTAGCTAGGTCACTATCTTTCCTGGCTCTAGATTTGTCTGTGACAATTAATATTCCTATGTATGACAGGTTTTTAGGGGCAGAGGAGATTAAAAATAAATATTTAAAAATATTATTTTAATACTAAGAATAAGACTGGTTCAGTGGCACACAGCAGTATTCTCAGGTACACATTAGTCTCATGTACTTGGGAAGCTGAGGTGAGAGGATTGCTTGAGCCCAGGAGTTAAGCAGACAGTGTACTATGATTGTGCCTGTTAATAGCCACATCATTTAAGCCTGGGCAACATAGCAAGGCCTATCTCCAAAATTAAATAAATAAAAATTTTATAAAAATAAGGAAGTACTGCTTTGCTGTCCTGAAGTGTGACTTGAGAATGAAGTCACTGAGAAAATTATATAAGTACACATAGCTGATTCCTTTATAAGTGATTCTTGTACATGAAATTGAGCAACAAAGCTTAAATATTTGAGGGCATTTCTTTAAAAATTTTCAAATCTGTTTTCTTTGTTGACATTGCCTATTTCCATTAGCCTGTTAATCAGCCAACATAAATTACTATAGTTCTGTTTGCGGTATAATTTCTTACATTTAGAGGATAAATGATTTTAGTTTCTAAAGTGCCAACTAAATGGTTACTATTTTGAAGAATAGCAAAACTGTTCTTTGCTTCTTTACTTGTGTATATTCTTAAATATACCACATTAATTATGTTTTTATTTGCATGCTTTTTTGCCTTTCTTCCCCCTTTTATTGATCTTTTATTGCTTAGGTTTGAGTACTTTAATAAAGATTTTCATGTTTTTAAGAATTTCTGCAAATAAGAATTGTTCTGTGAGCCTGGAAACATCTTAATTTTTCATTATAGGAGATGCTGAAGAAGTGTCATCTTTGTATGGAGTCAATAGTACAAGCCAAAGATAGACAGGCTGCTGAAGCAAACAAAAACGCCAGCATTTTGTTAGAGGAGTTAGACTTGGAAAAGGTAATAATAATCTTTATATGTGAAAATCATCCGCTTTTTTCCATCTTATTTTCTCTTCTTTTGAGTTGTAATCCATTGTTTTTTTGTTTTATTTGCTTTAAATTATATACATAGTTTCTCTCTACATTTGGCTCAAAGTGTGGAGAGAATTATGAGTACATTGACATCATTAAAAGCTCCTCTTTGTAATGAAATTAACAAAATTTTGTTACAGGTATTGCACTGATCTGGAAGTCAGAAAACTTAGCTTCTAATTCTGGATTTTAGTCTTATCTCAGCTAATGATCTCTTAATTTTCAACCACATCTGTTGTTTTTTATCTTAGACCTTGTAAGTTACCCCAGCAGGTTTATCACAAGTACCAAATGCACTACCAAGGCCTAACCAACTAGTGAATACAAACCTTGGAATGTCTAATGAGTACATTTTTAAATGAGTGACTTCTATTGTACTTTTCTCTTTCAGGCAGACTACAACATCATTCCCATCTATTCGCATGGGGAATAAAATACACCAAAACAGCATGTAGTTGGACAGTCTTATAGTTTCTTCATTCCCCTTTTCTGCCACATTTCCTCCCATAATTCTGTACTCTAGAACTTAATTGAATAGTAATCATAGGAAAAGAATTGGTTTGGCATTGAATATTATGGAACTGCCATATTTCACCTTTTATAAAAAGGTCAATGGCTGGGCACAGTGGCCCACGTCCGTATTCCCAGCACTTTGGGAGGCCGAGGCAGGTGAATCACTTGAGGTCAGGAGTTCGAGACCAGCCTGGCAAACATGACAAAACCTCATCTCTACAAAAAAGAAAAAAATTAGCTGGGCATGGTGGTGCATGCCTGTAATCCCAGCTACTAGGGAGGCTGAGGCAGGAAAATCACTTGAACCTGGGAGGCGGAGGATGCAGAGAGCCGAGATCGAGCCATTGCACTCCAGCCTGGGCAGCAGAGTGACTCTGTCTCAAAAATAAATAAATTTTTTTAAAAAGGTCAAAAATGATATAAAATTTAACATGAGCTGTTTAAATTTATAAAGGATATGCAGTGATAATTATGAATATGCCATTTTTGACCTGTTAGCTACATTCTTTTTTACTATACTTGCTTTATTAAGCTCTACATTTCATCCTGAATCATTCACTCATTCTAAGTACTTTATTCTGATTTAAATTTGAAAATACTGTTTTCTGAAAAAAAAAAATGTATGTGATTTTGGAGGCTCTTCATTCTAAAAATTTCTGGTTTATATTCAGAGCAAATTAAAGTTAGCTTTTTTGGCCATTTAAAAATTTTAAAGGAATGTGACTGCATTGAGAGATACAATGACCATTATAACTATTACTTGACCTATTTTTATTTTCAGTACCTAACATTTAATGCCTGCTAAATACAAGGCAGTATAATAGGGCCAAGTTGTGTGATAGAAGTTATATGATAGAATACATATTTTTTTTTTTTTTTTAGACAGAGTTTCGCTCTTGTTACCCAGGCTGGAGTGCAATAGTGCGATCTCAGCTCACCGCAACCTCTGCCTCCTGGGTTCAGGCAATTCTCCTGCCTCAGCCTCCCGAGTAGCTGGGATTACAGGCACGCGCCACCATGCCCAGCTAGTTTTTGTATTTTTAGTAGAGACGGGGTTTCACCATGTTGACCAGGATGGTCTCCATCTCTTGACCTCGTGATCCACCCACCTCAGCCTCCCAAAGTGCTGGGATTACAGGCGTGAGCCACTGCGCCCAGCCACATATTTTATTCTTTAAATTTTTGTTTTTTTATTATAATAGTATGCTCAGTTTAAACTGTGAAACCGACAAAGATAAGAAAAGATAAATGCTATCATTTTAAGAAATTAAGTTAGAAACCGGGTATGGTTGTTTTAAAACCTTTACCTCTGCAATTACCCATAAGAGCTTTTAAGACCCTACAATGATCTGCCTACCCACACCATGCCTTACACCTCTCTGGCCTTGTTTTTTTATTACTCTTTCCCTTAGTCACCTTGCTCTGTCCATACTGACTATCCTCCTTTTGTTCCTGCTGTCAGCAGCATCTTCCATCAATGTCCCTCAGATGTCCTCATGTTTTTGTTTCCTCTTCACAAGCACTTTTCTGCTCTTCTCTGCTTTATTTTTCACTTTTCAACATTGTAAATACTATATTCATTCAAAATGCTTAGTTATCTTGTTTGTCTGTCTCCCACTGGAACGGATGTGCCATAAAATAATGTCGGCATGTAGTAGGTACTCAATAAATATTTGTTGAATGAATAAATATTCACACATAGTGTGATGGTGTACTTTCTTAAAAAACAGAATCACGCATACATATTAGTCTAATACTTGCTTTTCCCTGTCTTAGTAACTGATGGATATTGTCATTTGATAGTGATTTTAAATAATTGCAGAATAGTTGATAGTAAGTTTGTTTCCAGTTTTTGGTCACTACAAATAATGTAATAAACATCCCTATACATATTTTTAAAATATTTTGCTCTTTTATTTTTATGAAATAAGTTCTTTTATGTTGGTCAACATACAGTAGTCCCTTTATTTGTGGTTTTGCTTTCCCTATGGTCTGAAAATGTTAAATGGAAAATTCCAAAAATAAACAATTTCATAAGTTTTATGTTGCACGCCATTCTGAGTAGCTTGATGAAATTTTGCACCATCCTATTCTTTTCTGTCTGGGACATGAATCTTCCTTTTGTCCAGTGTATCCACTTAGTAACCCTCAGCTATCTGTTGAAGTATCACAGTGCTTGTGTTCAAGAAACCCTAATTTTACTTAATAATGGCCCCAGAGTTCAAGAGTAGTGTTACTGGCATATTGTTATGATTGTTCTATTTTATTGTTGGTGTTGCTTATCTTCCATTGTGCCTAATTTATAAGTTAAATTTTATCATGGGTTTCTATGGAAAAAACATAGTATATATACAGGATCCAGTACCATCCAAGGTTTCAGGCATCAGTTGGGGATCTTGGAATGTATTTATTCATCACGGATAAGGGGACACTACTGTATTTTTAATTTAGTAGGTACTTGCAGAATGTTTTCCTACTACCACCAGCAATATATCAACGCCATTTCCTTGTATTCTTGCCGGCATTATTTAACCTTAATGTTTATACTTTCAAGAGCTTTAGTTTTAACGGAAGTCAAGAGAAGCATTTTTAAAATGTCATTGTATATTTTTTCATAATATTATAAACAAAAGATAATGAAGAATTCTTAATCATAAATTAATTCTGTCTAAATTGATTCCTCCACATGCATTGTACACTTTTATGTATAGTTTTGAGTGAGCGTGGAACATATGTAAAATTTTAAATTATAGAAACCCTTTTTTCCTGAACTACAGCCCATATTCTTATTTGAAAGATTTTCAGATTGGGATATTAGAGTTTGGTTCACTATTTTTTAATTACAATTTACATCTGGGAAAATGTACTTCTGGTTTCATCACTGGAGTTGGTCCTTACTGGTCTGAGTTGAGGTTCTCCATACATAACTTATTCCTTGTAGAAAAATGCCTCTTTGGTCAGTCTTTCTAGTTTTGAAAATTTGGTTTATAAAAACTGCTGCAGAAAGCTGGGCATGATGGTACATGCCTGTAGTCCCAGCTACTCGGGAGGCTGGGGCCCAGGAGTTGGCCATCTAGCCTGGCCAACATAGTGAGACCCAGTCTCTACAAAGAAAAAGAAATCAGCGGCCACTATATTACAGCCATTAGATTAGTTAACACTTATTCAGTAAACATTTATTTTTTGAGCATTTACTAAGTGGATGAGTCCCTGCACTGGAGTAGTTCCATCTGGTCAAGCTGCAGAATCCTTTTAATGGTTAATTGCTTGCTCTCTTAGAACCTTAACAACTGAGTTATGTTCTTGGATGTTAATATCCCTAGAGATATTTTAAACTTACATTTTTGATATACTTATTTCACCCCCTTCACTTCATTTTAGACTTTTCCTTCTACCTTTTTTTTTTTATTGTTTTTTTGTAAACTTTTAGGGAGCTAGGTAATAGTATATTTTCCAAACACAGCCTATCCCATTCTCGATTTCACACATTTCATTCTCTGATTATTGCTTTCTATCTTTTCAACTTGACTTCCTCTAGATTTCTACTTTTTAATAATCCTGCCAACACCACTGACCAATAAATGGTAAGAACCATTTATATCATACTACCCTTTCATTGTTCCTTACTCCTTTCTTTCTTATTCTCACATGAACCTCAGTAACTAAATGTGTTGAGAAAAAACAATCTTTACGACTAATTTTACTTGAAATGTGACAGTGAACCCTTTTATGCTGACCAATACAGGATTTCCCTATCTCTTTAATGCTGATCAGTAGTTAAAATGCTGCATTTCCTTAGTTTAATTTAGTCTTCCATTCATCTAGACAACTGTTTCTTACTTTCTCCCTCATCCTAAGAATTCCAGCACCACCCCTCTTTCACCTTCAGTAGGTGACCTTGCATCCTGAGAAAATTGAGGCATCGGAAAACTTGTAAAGACTTTGCCTACACCATCTATCTGCCCACCAATACTGCACCTCTTCTTTACCTTCAGTGAGAAAATGGAAGCATCAGAAGAAAACTTCCAAAGGCTTTGCCCACCCTATCTATCCAGCCACCAACATCTACACACATATACTTCCTACCAGTGACTAGATAAACTTTTTTTTTTTTTTTTTTTTTTTTTTTTTTTTTTTTTTTTGAGATGTAGTCACCCAGGCTGGAGAGCAGTGGCATGATCTCGGCTCACTGCAACCTCCACCTCCCTGGTCGAAGTGATTCTCCTGCTTCAGCCTCCCAAGTGGCTGGGATTACAGGCATGTATCATCACGCCCAGCTAATTTTAACATTTCTAATAGAGATGGGGTTTCACCACATTAGCCAGGCTGGTCTCAAAAGTCCTAGCCTCAGGCAGTCTGCCAACCTTGGCCTCCCAAAGTGCTGGAAATACAGGTGTGAGCCACCACGCCTGG